GATTGTTACTGTACTGCCAACTATTTTCATTTAAAATCAAAGCTGTCAGTGGGTGTATGTCCTGGTCATATCTTCCCTCCAGCCCCTTTCCTTCAATTACCTTTTCCAATATTAGATTTTGTATATGAAATGTGCTTTAACAAAATAAAACGAGTATTTATTCAATTATTATAGGTTTATTGATATCTTATAATCATGGTTTTGATATTGAAATTGGTTCTAAAAGATTGTATTACATATCATCTTTAATAGGTATGTATTTTATCAATTTCATATGAAAATTTGGTAGATCAATACAAAAAGGCTGGAAATTATTATTAAAAGGTGCTTGTAATATGTTTTAAGTGTGCTAGAAATTCTGTTTTAAGTGTGCTTAACTTTCACTTGTTTTTGTCACTGAAGAATAATGAATACAGAAAAATAATGTTAATAAAGATCTATATTTAACATGGATAAATACTTCATTTCATCATTTCATTGTATATATGTTATAATTGTATTTTGATTTGATTGTCTCTAATTACTTTTTGTTACTTTTCTTATAGCATATGCTGTTGGTTTAGGGTTCACATATTTAGCTCTGGCTTTCATGGAGACTGGTCAACCAGCATTGTTATATCTTGTACCTTGTTTACTTATAACAACTTTTACACTAGCTTGTCATAGGAAAGAATTTCGTCTACTATGGTCTGGTATTAAGGTATGCATACTTTAATCTTGCAGATACAGATATCTGTTAATTTGTACAGATTTCAATCCATTAAAAGATGAAACTGATGATTTCCATGTCATACACAGTAGTGTTAGTTGAAATACTGACAAAAAGAAATCATGTTCATTTTGAAACAAAGTGACTTTTGGAGGTGTTAAAGCCATGAAGTCATTTTCAAAATACAAAATGGAAATTAGTGATTTTATAAAAATGGTATTTTTTTTATTTCTAATCTAATCTAGAACTCTAAGAAGGATGATAATATAATAAACAAGGACAGTGTTATACCTACTGCTGTTGTTGGTTCTATAAATAGATCTGGTTCTACATCCACTTTATCAACTGATGGTGGTGGTGAAGAAAGAGTGTTAATTCGTTGATAGTACTAAATTTTTCTTCCATATTTTAAACCAATTGAAATTTTTTTTCTTTTTTCTCTTCGAAAGTTTAAAGTGACCACAAAATGTTAAATGTTCGTAGGCCTACTTGTGTTTCTAAAATAACCAAGATTACTTTGGCACTTAATAAATCTTAGCTTAACACCTTTAATAAATTTAACTGAAGTTTTAGTTTTAAATAGAATAATACATTAAGTAGGAATGGATGAAATAGTTGTCAAGAGTTTTTACCCTCATTTTACGTCAGATAAACACTTTCCATCATTCCAAATGATCTGCAAATCTGTATAGAAGCTAAGTAGAAATGATGTCTGATAACTTATAGATAGGACCTTTTTGGATTGTTACAAAGCAACACTAACTCTCATTTAGAATCTTGTCATTCTGGTTAAGTACATGAGTGAGTACATTTTGAACATAAATTGTGGTGTTTACAAGCAACCATCAAGTGAAAATCTATTGTAAATCTGTGATGCACTAATTAAATGTAAATTTTTATATTACTTTGATTGTAAATTTTGTTAACATTAATAAAGCATAAAGTAATTAACTGTGTTTCTACTTAGGGAAAAAGTCGGCTTTTTTGTGTTTCCATTGGGCAAAGTGTCGAATTGTAAACCTGGTTCAGTCTAATTAAAATAAGACCAAAATCACATCAATTGTTTGTTAGGAACACCAATAGAAATGTAGAAGTACTGGACGTCTGAATTTGATTCTGAAAAGTTTATGGATAGCGAATATTAAAGGGACATGTGGGCCACTTTTAGTGGTTGATTCGAGTCATGAAAATATGTAAATAGTTTTCAGAATTGCTAGAAATGTACGAAAATCATCTTTTCTATGTATCGCAGAGCATTTTAAAATGACGAGTCGTTATTTTAACATTCAAACGCGGATAAATCTGGAAAACACGTGGATATGAAGGCTCAAATTTCGACGGTAAGCAGTGAAAACTATTACAGATTAGCTTTGCTAAAAAAAATTCCCTTTTCTGAAACTTGAGTATGACTGGTCAAAAAAATGTCCCTTTAAACCACCATCATTATTTCGGTGCAACATGAAATGCACGCCCAGATTCCCGAATACTACAAACTAGAAAAATGAATGTGTGAATTTAAGAAGCTATGGCTTATTGTTTACAGACTTTCTGTCTTGAACTAAACTAGTGTCCAAAAGAAACGATACCAACTTATTTTCAAAGTTGTTTTTTACTAAGTGAATTGTCTAATATGAAAACATCCCAATTCGTATTGCACATCCCAAACACAGCATAGTCGATAAAAATACCGGGAACACGTGATCACTTCCGGGAAAAAACGTAAATTTCATGAAAGTGACATTTCCCTCTCTAGCATGTTCTGCACGTGCATAAAAACTGTATAAAACGGCTGATCAGACACGTTGATATCACAGCAACATAAAAAACACAAGATATGCCACGTTTGACAGCCATCGAGAGAGAGAGAGAGAGCCGTTTGAATGGTTCAACAAGGAGCGACACACGTCGACGTCGCCAGAAGGTTGGACTGCGCACGCATCACTACCAACATGACAATGCAAGGCCACACACAGCAAGATTGACACAGAACTTCCTTGCCAACGCCAACGTACAGGTTTTGCCATGGCCCGCATGTCACCGGACATGAATCCCATCGAGCACTTATGGGACCACTTCGATCGGCAAATCCGACGTCGCCGTGTGCCTCCAGTCAACGTCCAGGACTTGGAACGATATCTCCTCGAGGAATGGCAACGCATCACTCCCAACGTCATCATACGTTTGACGGCATCAGTCCGTAGGCGTGTTCTGGCATGTATTGATGCTCACGGTGGACATACCCGCTACTGACTTGACTTTGTGACGTGTGGTGTGACATTTCCCGTTGTTTCTGTGATCAGTGCTCTAACGAAATGTTCTTTTTTCGACCCCACCCATCTTTAAAGGCTTGTCATATTGGTTGTACAGATTTTATTGAAATGAAATTTTTGTACAGATGTTGAGAAAGGATTTCTCAAAAGCATAACACCAATCTTAAACTTCTGCATTGTTTAGTTTTTCTTTTATGTCGTTGCAAACAGGTGGTATCGTTTCTTTTGGACACTAGTTTATTTGCTTAAATTTTTAATAGTATTCATCCTTGGGTAAACATTAACACCAAGTTTTGTCAAAATCCATCGAGAATATTATGCCCTTAGGAGTATTTGAGCAATTTTGCTGGATCGACAAACGGGCGTATTATTATAACTATATATATTTTTTAAGCATACGTCTTCACTAAATCTGACAAAGCTCCTCTAGCTTTAAGGTGGATTTATTATAAATATATTTGTAGACATGTAGGTCCCGTAAACAAATTCTGGGAACAAAGGTTTGAAAGTGTTTTTGTGTTCTCTGATGAATACCGAACAATTTTGACTTGACTGCCCCCTTGAAAATGTCAGGCATTTCAAGGAGGGGTCAACAAAGGTGAAAATTCAAATATATGCCAATCGTGTCGATATGCGCAATACTCGTCGAGTCTTGAGATTCTGCCTCTTTTCCAGCCTCTGATGACTTTTGGCAGTAGCCTAGAATGGGTAAAAAAAAAACTTCATCCGTCACTCCGTCAATGATGTTGTCACTCCGTCAATGATTTCGTCACTCCGTCAATGATTTCGCCACTCATACCCATAGTAACGTCATTGAGGTTGCCAGTCTAGTTATTTTTAGGTGTCTTTGATCATGGCAGTGGTGTGTTATTTTTGTATCTGTCTCTTGTCTGTGTTCACCTTTTCTAATGTGGTAAGTACAATTGTTCTAGGAAATTGTTAACTATCTATTTGTAAGATTTGTCCAATAACCATTGGTGCTAATTCACCTATATTATTTCTGATCTTAATCCTCAATGTGAAACTCTACCTCAAACTCAAACTCAAAACGTGATTAGACAACATACCATACCATGATTCTGCAAAAACGTCATCGCATAGGCCTTAAGGGAAACCGCGTGGTAATGATGTCCTAATTTTTATCTTGCCAGCTGCCTGCACCCGTCAGCAAACGTGCTTGATTTGCTAAGGATTTGGTCAGGATTTGCTCGGGAGATTGAGTTTGAGTACACGTAAATCGCATCTTTACGCTGAGCTTGCTAATGACCTTTTCTTATTACTAGGCCTACTACATTGTCAGTGACTTGTTACTGTCTGCTGTTCAACCACCTACTCTGACAGTGTGATATCGAAGTTATCACTTTTTCAATTGTAAACCTAAATCATAAAGTAATATTGTTCAATAACTTTCCATCCTATTTCTGAGAGGTTACGAGTCATTTCAACAATTATTGGACTGATACCTCATCAGATTGATTTGCTTTATAGGCTATTTTTTTTTTCTTTTAATACCAAAAATTGCACATTATCTCCCAAAAATAATTAAAATGATCTCCTTGGGGGGTAATGACGATTAATAAATAAAGTTTAAAAGGGTCTGATTTATTCGTAGTTAATTTAAACTATGCACCAAAATCTGGAGAGATGTGTGACTTATCTGAAAATTTTAACCTAAAGTATCTCTACGTTAATTAAGAACGCCAACAGATAAAAAGTTTACAAAAACAATTTGCTATGTTTTTTTAAATTTAGAGAAATAGGTTGCCTACTTACTCTTTCAACTAAAAATGATAAAGTCAAACAACTAAAACTAGATCAAGCTGCTTAAATTACAATTAGTATGCTCCGTTTTTAATCACCTCTTTTATAACAAATTCAGGTCGATCAAATATATATATAGAAGCAAAAAAGCATTTTTTTTTTAGAAATCCTTTCATGTAAAAATTACAATGCTTTTTATTTTAAGAATTTTGCATACTGTCTTAATAAGCATTGCGCTTGTTATTTTATAGGTGAATGGAGAGCTAGGTATATTATATGCCAGATCAGGAAACAACAACTCATTAGAGACTACATTATGTATTGCCTATAATCCAAAATATCAAAAATTACCAAAACCTAGCTCCGTAGTAAGTTATTGCCTATTTTTTTTCACTATTGAAGCTGATGATTTGTTTTATCAGGCACGTAGCCAAACTTTATTTTTCAGGGGAACGAGTAATATATTCGGACGGGCAATGGATGGTGTTTGAAGTAATGAAATTGGTCGGTTGTCAGAATTTTTTCAGGGAGCCATCCATTTTTATACGCCCACATGGAAATGTGGACGCATATAGGCCGTCGCCTCTGTCCGTCGGTCCGTCGGTCCGTCCGTCCGTTCACATTTCTTGATGAAACTTGGTATGCATGTAAATATTGATGAGATCTCGGTCAAGTTCGAAATTGGTAATAATCGGATGAACGGTATCAGAGTTATTGCCCCTGACTTAGTAAAAACTCGTCAAATGTGACTTGTAGGCATAATAAAAACTAGTTTTTACCCAACCTAGATAAAACTAGGTATGCATGTAAATATTGATGTGATCTCACTCGAGTTCGTAATTGGTAACAATCAGATGAAGGGTTTGAGAGTTATTGCCCTTGACTTAGTAAAAATTCGGCTTGCACGCACGATAGAGACTACAGTTTTTATCCAATCTTGATGAAACTAGATATGCATGATGAGATCTCGGTCAAGTTAGAAATTGGTAATAATCAGATCAACAGTTTCAGAGTTATTGCCCTTGTGTGTACAACCATGAGACATTGGTCATGTTTGAATTCAAAGCTGCTGGTGATGCTATCAATATTGTTTATCAATATCTGCATTGATGTACTACAAGTTAGACCAATCAGAAATTGAGAGACAATCACCATTTCATTTTATCATAATCATAAAAAGATAATTTAGGGAGTATATCCCTTTAATATATTAACAAAAATCCAATGATAATGTTCTGAGAATGTACTACTGGTAGTACAAGAAAGAGAAAAGAATAATTAATAAATAACATTATCAGTATATTGAAAATAAATGAAGAAAAAATTGTATGATCATCCATGTATGCTTATTCTTTCAATTCTAGTTTTTTTTTGTGTTTGTAGAAATCACATCCTTTAGCAGACTATTCATCCAGTAATGGCTGTGATGATATTTACACAAAAACAATAGAAAGTCATGTTGTTTTCGTACAACGTGGTTATTGTACATTCGCCCAGAAAGCCCGTTTTGTACAAAGGTATAATGGAACTGCTCTGATTTCAATACATTATGAAAATGAAACATCACTGGTAAGTACAATGCCAGTGGCAGAGCACAAAAACAAAATTTATTGGAGTATATACAATGTTGTTTTGCTTTTCTGCTTCAGATAGCTCTTTTGAACACATTTATATGTATGGTAGTAGGTGTTGTTACCCTGGTAGTTGGTGATGTTGTTGGGGTGGAAGTAGGAGAAGTGGTTGTGAGGAATGTTTTTGGATTGGTAACAGGTGGTATTGTCGAACTGGTAGTAGGATATGTTGTTAGGCTGGTAGCATGAGATGTTGTAGGACTAGTATTAAGGGAACTTGTTAGAATAGGTAGTATACGATGTCGATGGAATAGTATAATATTATGTTGAGAGATTGATATTAGAGAATGTAATGGTAATTTTGTTGTTTTTTTTTTGGGGGGGGGGGGCGGAAAGGCGTCTTTACTGAGCCGCAACGGCGTTGGAAAATTAGCTCAGAACATGTTAAGGTCGCCATGCCTCAAGCGTGGTATAAGCGTGAATAATCGCCCTTGAGATCATCATAACATTTCCATTAACGCAATAAAAATGAAGTAGCCTACACCTTGAAGTAATGACTGACATTACTCCAAGTCTACACCAAGCCAAAAGATTGTATTAGAAACGCGCCTAAGGGAACGCAATAATGTTCATTTTAATTCCATGGGTTTTTTGCCAGCGTTTTCAACGTTTGCCGGCACCCAAGCCGATGTAACGGGATTATTCTTGAAACCCTTGCCTGAATCTGTCAATTAGTTCATCGTCATCAAGTGCAGCTCATATTAGTCATCTGCAGCAGTCTAATGGGTCTTGCACCGAGGAGAGTAAATATACCTAGTACAGTACTAACAATCGGAACCGCAAAACGAAACCTGAAATCCAAGCAACCTATTGGCGAAACATTAGAAGCAGAAATGAACTTTTCACATGGAGAAGTATCTCAATCATAAGTGACGAAGTACTTCATAATGGAAAGTGGCACAAGGTGTCTAGAAGAGTAAGCATACTCTTCCCGTCATAGCTTCTTAGGATCGTATTCGAAATTTGACTCGTTTCACGGCAGAAAAGGGGCTGACAGGAATGGCTACTGCGATAGCATCTCAAGATTGGGTAGGCATCCAACAATTGGTATTGCCGATGCATCTTTTTCCTGGTAACTATAATGTTGGCATATCTGCGTGTTCAGGGTTTTCATCGATTTCAATACTTTCAACTTTTGCTTTGTCTTTGGAGACGCTCAACTCAAAGGTTCTGCTGCACAGTGTAACACATCAAGGTCATAATTCACACAGAACGCTTCCATTTTTGGCTATAGTATATTTTTGGAAAGGTAGAGGGAGTGTTGCAGAACTGGTAGTATAAGATGTTGAAGGTCTGGTAGTAGAGGATGCCGACGGACTGAAAGTAAGGGATGTTGCTGAATTGTAAGATGATGATGCAGTCGGATTTGTGATAGGGGAATATTGTTGGGGTGGTGATGGAGGATGTATTAGGGGAGATTGTTGGACTGGTAGAAAGGGGGTGTTGTAGAACTGGTAGAAGGACAATTTATTGGACCTATTATAGTTGATGTTTTGTGCTGGTAGTAGGAGGTGTTAGAGAATTATGAGAGATTCTGGCGTTGGTAAAAGGGGTTCTATAGGACTGGTGGATGTTGTTGAACTGGTATTAAGACATTGTTGGATTGGTAGATGACAATGTTGTCGGACAGGTTGTAGGGTAATGCTGTTCGGCTGGTTATGGGTGATGTCATTGTTGGACTAGTATTATGGAGGTTGTTGATTGTTGGACCAGTGGAAAGGGGGTGGTGTAGGAATGGTAGTAGGATAATTTATTATATTAGGCTGGTAGTAGGAGATGCCGTCGGACTGATAGTAGGTGGTGTTAAGGGAGATTGTTCCACTGGTTGTAGGTTTGATGGTTAGGGATGTTGTTGAATTGGTAGTAGGAGACGCAGTGGGACTAGTACAAAGTAAAAAACGATTCCCAAAAAGGTCAAGTTCCTGTATACAGTAACAAATAAGTCTAAAAAGGTCATCAAAAGAAATAATTGTATAAATATATTTATAGACAGTGCCAGGTGGAACAGAAGACGATTATGATAATATCACCATCATTCTAGCTACTATATTATGGAAAGATTTCCAAACATTAGAGGCAAGTTTGTTACATCTACCCCATTTCTATTATTTTGTGTTTGTTAAATGCTGATGCCAACTCACAGTCCACCACTTTAAATGGGTGGAATTGCATTGAATTGAATTTTTAATAGTACAAAATGTGTGATAAGACTAACTGGAGACTCATGTACCATACCCATCAACAAACAATTGTCTAATTTCGGAGGCGTATACATTTAAAATATGCATTTGGTCTATTTGCTTATGTTTTGAGTTTTGAAGTTTCAAGATGATAAGAAGAAGTTTGTATTTTTAATTTATATGAATATTTATAGGAAATAGGAAGTGATGTATATGTGTCTATGTATGCCCCTGATGATGCTAAAGTAGATCCTAATATGGCATGTATATATTTGATAGCCATGTTTTGTGTTGGCGTTGGATCTTTTTGGTCTGGTATTGTCAGACATGATATGTAAGTATTGTTTCTATAATATGTTAACAGATACGTAAATGAATTGATTGAAAAATAGTTTCAGTTCATGAATAACATGTTTAGAAATTAAAAGTATATTCAATGTGGTTATCTAGTTATTTGTGAAGAACTATATGCATGATTATATGTAATGATGAAATATGTTACTAACTAATTAAAGTTTAATTACATTCAGATAAATATGATGTCAGAATACATATATGTACTGATTATTTAACATTGTTTATTAACAAGTATTTCAGATAAATATAATTTTAGAATATATGTATTGATTATTTAATATTAGTTAATAATCAGTAATCAAGATAAATATTTTGTTAGAATGTATGTATTAATTATTTATTAATAAGTAATTCAGATAAATATAACGTGAGAATTATATATGTATTCATTATTTGATATTATTTACTTATTAGAGATTCAGATAAATGTTATGTTAGAATATAATCATGTATTGATTATCTAATATTATTTAGCAAGTCAAATAAGTATAATGTTAGATCAAATTCAGATCAAAGTATCATAATTTCAGTGAAAAGTATAATTGTAATTCAGATAGAAGTAAGAATTAAATGTATTACAATTTCAGTAAGAATTATTGTTGTTCAGATAAAAGTTAAAATATAATTTAGATGTAGGCTAATTCAGATAAAAGAAAATTTATTATAATTTTAGGGACAAGTATAGATGTAATTCCGATAATGTAAACATTAATTTTATTGATGTAATCAGTAAGAAGTATTAATATTATCCGATAGAAATTATAAGTATTATTAATATCTTTGAGAAGTAAAGATGTAATTCAGGTGAAGTGAAAATTGAATTTATTATAATTTCAGTAAGAAGTAAAGATGTAATTCAGGTGAAGTGAAAATTGAATTTATTATAATTTCAGTAAGAAGTAAAGTTGTAATTCAGATGAAAGTAATAAAAATGAATTTAATTATAATTTCAGTAAGAAGTAAAGATGTAATTCAGGTGAAGTGAAAATTGAATTTATTATAATTTCAGTAAGAAGTAAAGTTGTAATTCAGATGAAAGTAATAAAAATGAATTTAATTATAATTTCAGTAAGAAGTATAGATGTAATTCAGATATAAGTAACAATGACATTTATTATAATTTCAGTAAGAAGTAAAGATGTAATTCAGAAAAAAATAACAATGACATTTATTATAATTTCAGTAAGAAGTAAAGATGTAATTCAGATAAAAGTAACAATGACATTTATTTTAATTTCAGTAAGAAGTAAAGATGTAATTCAGATAAAAGTAATAATGACATTTATTATAATTTCAGTAAGAAGTAAAGATGTAATTCAGATAAAAGTAACAATGGTATTTATTATAATTTCAGTAAGAAGTAAAGATGTAATTAGTAACAGTATGACATTTATTATAATTTCAATAAGAAGTAAAGTTGTAATTCAGATAAAAGTAACAATGACATTTATTATAATTTCAGTAAGAAGTAAAGATGTAATTCAGATATAAGTAACAATGACGTTTATTATAATTTCAGTAAGAAGTAAAGATGTAATTCAGATAAAAGTAACAATGATATTTATTATAATTTCAGTAAGAAGTAAAGATGTAATTCAGAAAAAAAATAACAATGACATTTATTATAATTTCAGTAAGAAGTAAAGATGTAATTCAGATAAAAGTAACAATGACATTTATTATAATTTCAGTAAGAAGCAAAGATGTAATTCAGATAAAAATAATAATGACATTTATTATAATTTCAGTAAGAAGTAAAGATGTAATTAGTAACAATGACATTTATTATAATTTCAATAAGAAGTAAAGATGTAATTCAGATAAAAGTAACAATGACATTTATTATAATTTCAGTAAGAAGTAAAGATGTAATTCAGATAAAAGTAACAATGACATTTATTATAATTTCAGTAAGAAGTAAAGATGTAATTCAGATATAAGTAACAATGACATTTATTATAATTTCAGTAAGAAGTAAAGATGTAATTCAGATAAAAGTAACAATGACATTTATTATTATTTTAGTAAGAAGTAAAGATGTAAGATAAAAGTAACAATGACATTTATTATAATTTCAGTAAGAAGTATAGATGTAATTCAGATAAAAGTAATAATGTAGAAGAAGATGAAGCTGTTGATTTATCACCTATATCATTATTAATATTAGTTATTTTATTATGTGGAATGTTAGTTTCTTTATATTTTTTCTATGATTATCTTGGTGAGTACTTTTAGTAACAATTAGTTTCTTGTTTATGCTTTCCACATGGCCAAAAAAAAAAATACAGGCAATAATACAAAACACCTCATTTTGAATTGAGCTGAACAAAAATTAATTTGAAGCTCTTGAATTCTAGTTTACAAACTTTATCGAATTTAGCTCTTGAGAATAAATAAATATATATATTTTGATAATTTTGGCAGGTGTTTCTTTTCTCTTTTTTTACAACTGTTTTAATATAAAAACTTTTTAATATAAAATATTTTCCTTATGTGTAATTGAATTTGAAAATTTTTGTAATTGTTTCAGTGTATGCTGTGATAGGATTTTTCACTTTAGCTGGATCAGTAGGACTGTATTTCTGTTGTCAACTTATTTGGAACAAGATATTAAAATGTCATGCATTGTAAGTAGAGTAGTTTATTATATGGAAATGATTTAGAAATGCTATTTTAAGCAGAAACTTTAAATGAATTTATCATTCTAATAGGTGAAAGATATCAAAAAAGAAACATTTTGTATTGTATCTCTTACAATTAAATTCATTGTCTATATGTAAATATTTTAATCTAAATAGTATGGCAATTTACATTCCTCATGATGTTTTTTTCCTATCTTACAATTTTTTTTATTTCAGTATTTCTGTAGAAAAGATACCAGGGTGTAGTGGTGCAATAGAAATTCGTTCAATTTTGTTATATTTATTATGTGCTGCCATCAGTATATTTTGGGCTATTCAGAGACATGAGAGGTAAATACTTCAGGAATAATACTTTCATGATGATTTGATGAAAGTATTTATACATTTTGTTATGAAATGATTAATAAAATAGATATATTTTATAAAAACAGTACCAGCATAAAAACAGAGCTCTACTTGAGATGAATTATTTTCTTCTTTTGCTTTTATTTATGCATGGATATTACAGAACATACTGGGAACAGCAATTTGCATTAATATGTTAAAAACAATCCGATTACCCAATCTCAAGGTATTATACCATCAATATGTTATAAAAAAAAAAATGAAACTGATTACTAATAAAGTAATGAAAATTTTGACAGTAGATTTTTGTTTTTGCTGTGTTTTTTCATTATGAAAAAGCGTTTTCCATAAACGTTCAACGTTTATTTAAATTTTGTGATTACTAAACTTTGAATCTGTTCTGCAGTTAGGCATGTAAATTGCAAATATTTACACTTTTAAAACAATTGGAATCTCGAGCTTATCTGTTAGTCAAAACAATAGATTTTAGAATACCTGTATATTTTGATTTATACATCATTATGTTTTAATTATGAAGTGATATAATTGATATTATGATTTTGTTATAGGTGTGTACCCTATTACTGGTCCTGTTATTTTTCTATGATATATTCTTTGTTTTTATTACACCATTATTTACCAAGGTAAGAATGTTTTTGTTACTTTTTGTTATTAAAATATATTGTGTTAACGGGACAGATGCACCTTTGTGGGGGTTGAATTAAGTCTTTGATATATGTAAATAATCTTTAGAAGTACTAAAAATATACGAAAATCTTCAAAAATATCTCAAACAAGGAATTTCTTTAGATGTCTTTTCTAAATATAGCATAGACTCAAGAAAAAACTTTTTAACTTTCAAACGCTGATAATTCTGGACAAATAGGATTTGAAGGCTCAAATTTCGACGTTAAGCTGTGAACACTGCTACTGATTGGCAAAGCTAAAAAAAATTTCCAAGGTTCGATTGATAAAATAATGGAGCACCTGTCATTTTAAATGAAAAATATTAATATCTTGATGTTTAATTGGTATTTCTTCAAATATACTAATATCACATCTATCTTTGAGTTAGGCCACCAAGGTGATAATTAAAGTTTTCAATTCAAAATAACAGGAATTATCACCTGATTACCACCTAAATGAAAATTAAAAAAAAGTGAAATGTGTCGTATATAAGCCTCCGTACAGATCTGACATGGAAAAGCGTTTGGATAAGACAATTAACTGTGCATGTTTAAGATTCCTGGACAGCTGTAAACACAATGCATGGTGCCACCCATCTTCTTAAAGCCAATCAGATGCACAAAAGGAGGATGTAAAACACCACTTCATTTAATTTTCTGACACAGTTTTATCATGTATGTGATGCAGTTTTATGGGATTCTCATTAAAAAGACATTTGAAGAATATATTTCATATTTTTTGTGAAGTCTATTAAGTAAAATGTATAATATCTATTATATTTTAGACTGGTAAAAGTATAATGGTAGATGTAACTACGGGTGGAAATAGTGTAACAGGTGAACGGGTTAGAAATGTGCATTCATAAATATACCGTTCATTTTTAACTATGTAAACTTGCTGTAAAAATGATGTGGAGGAAAACCATAATCCACGATTCAAACAAATTACAATATATATACAATACACAATATATATAAAATGTGCAAGTCATATTGAATGTAATTTGCGGTGACATATTCAATGCTGTGTATTGTTGTGTATTTAATTATATAGGAGACATAATGCTGTAAAGGAAGACATATACCATGAATTTAGAAAGAAAGAAACTGTTTTGTCACAAGAATAAATATCTAGGTTCGGTAGGAACCTTTTTACCAGTTGGTCACTGGCCAAACCTCTTGGTGTTAACAGTCATAAGACTTTCACATACCGAGTAAAATTAACATGACCATCATTTGTTAGGAAGAATTCATGTTGTTTTTTGTTCTGTTATAGTTACCAATGGTATTTAAATTCCCTAGATTATTATCCTCAGTATATTCTATTTGTACAGAACAACCCTATTCATTATTAGGTTTTGGTGATGTTTTAGTACCAGGTATGTATATGATTAAGATATATTTGAATGGCTAATAGCAACTTCAAGCTATGATAGATGTTTCAACTATACTTTTGAACTATCAACTTCGCTTGACATACTCATAGGCTCTACCCCGTTCTTTTCCAATATTAGATTTTGTATATGAAATGTGCTTTAACAAAATAAAACGAGTATTTATTCAATTATTATAGGTTTATTGATATCTTATAATCATGGTTTTGATATTGAAATTGGTTCTAAAAGATTGTATTACATATCATCTTTAATAGGTATGTATTTTATCAATTTCAAAAAATTAAGTATAGATCAATACAAAAAAGGCTTGAAAATTTCAATTTTACGATTAGTTGCTCTGTAAGGGTATGTATACCCGCTTGAACAGGTTTTGGCATTGTGACAAAAAAGAAATAAAACGAAGATTAGTAAAAGATGTCTCAGAATTCTTCACATCAAGGAATTGAGCATTCATTTCATACTTATAGTCTGATCTAAAACCAATGGAAAAATAGTACTATTAGTCTTAGAATGTCTTTGCGTTGAAAAAATATAAACATAAGCACGTATTTTGTCTTCAAAATTTCTTTTTACAGAGGCCCATTTTCAGCCAAAATTTGTGAATTTTTGGGTTGAATTTCTAGGAGGGAAATGTGTTCCATTTCAACGTGAACTCCAAAAAGACATTCTAATTCTTACAATACTATTTTGAGGATGCAGTTCCAATTCTCATCTTTTTTAGTCTTCTCAGCCAATAGATTGTTCCTAATTACAATTTTACTTGTTATTTCATGATTTCAGCATATGCTGTTGGTTTAGGGATCACATATTTAGCTCTGACTTTCATGGAGACTGGTCAACCAACATTGTTATATCTTGTACCTTGTTTACTTATAACAACTTTTACACTAGCTTGTCATAGGAAAGAATTTCGTCTACTATGGTCTGGTATTAAGGTATGCATACTTTAATCTTGTTAATTAAACAGATTTCAATTCATAAATCCTTTGATTTCACCGTTATACATGCAAGAGAGATGTGAGAATTTGAAAGAATGAAAAAGCTTCGTTAACCCATTGGAAGCAGAATTATGCAATCTAGTGATTTTATGAAAATTTCTATTTTGTAGAACTCTAAGAAGGGTGATGATATAATAAACAAGGACAGTGTTATACCTACTGCTGTTGTTGGTTCTATAAATAGATCTTGTTCTACTTCCACTTTATCAACTGATGGTGTGGGTGAAAAAATAAATTTGTAAATTTGTTGATAGTATTTATTTAAATCATCAGAAAAAGACAGCGATCAAAGATTTTGTCTTTGAAAGTTTCATGTTATAAGTTGAACTTTGATACCAATTTTACTGATAGATTTCCGACTTCAACAATATGCTGTCTTGGTAGCAATTTTCAGCCAATCCAAATAAATCAATCGTTATGACGCTTTGTTTGCGAACTTAATCAAAACGAAAGCAGCTTGCCATTATATATTTTAATTAATATGTAGCCTACGGTACAGAATTGAGTAAGATTTTCGGTAAAGAATTGAAGCCGAGAGAAAATCCAACCTAACTTAGGAATATTTACTTGGAAAAGATGTGTTCTTCTCTCTTTAAATAACTCCAACCAAATTTCCACGCCCATAAAACGAAGTGTAGTGGAATTAGTTTAATACGTGTTATGCGTTATACGATGATACATACATACATATTATGTATAATAAGCAGTGGCGGAATTTGGACTTGTTGGACCATAGGCAAACTAACGGTAGAGGGCCTAATATCTCATGTTAAGGAGGGGGCATGGCGTGTTTACAATTTTATGGCAGGAAGTTTGCGATCTTTTTTTTCAGGAACAGAAAGCTCATCAGCATCAATCGACATTCATCACCATTATATTCAAACAACCCAGTAGGACACTTCATTAGTTTTAATCTGGAGAAAGATCGCCTTACATATGCATTCGACACCATTAGTCTCAAATATATCCTCAGAGTTACCACAACATTAGGATACTTAGCTTGGAATTTGTTATTTTTGCGCTTGTATTAGCTGCTCCTTTCAGCTTCTTGGCCTTCAACTTTCTCCCATCTGCCCTTCTGATTTTGAGCCATGATTACCTTACTCTGTTATAATTATTCTCATGTATATTAGTTATCAGTTACAGAGTAGGCCCTATAATTAAATTGCATATAATTTTTAAAAAATCTTTTGGAAGAATCTGGATTTGGTTATATGTGTAGCAGTAGGCCTCATAACAAGTTGATAGCACCAATAGGACAATTAAGTTAACAATGAAAACTTTTGAATCTATAACTTCTGAAGCCAAAGTCGGGACAGACTGGATTCCAATCCTAACGGAAGCCTATTTAATTTCATTTATTATGGTCTATCACAATAAAATGTGTGTGGATGGGCTGAGCATACGGTCGCGGGTCGGTCTACGAAGCGAAGTTTAATATAAAGCAAAGACACGTATCGTCCTCTGATAACGAAGCTTGTGTCTTGGCGACTGCTGACAAAAAGGTAACGAAGTAGCGCCGTCTGTTATTAATCTAGGGAATATGAATATCGAACGGTATTTTAATAAAAAGTCGACCAATAAACAAGAAAATATAAATCACACGATAACGTGCAAACGGTAGGTTGGTAGGTACAATAAGAGTAAAGGTAGCTACGTTTCGTGACAAATCCCTTTATCAAGCGAAACAAAATAAAAATAGGCGACTTAGGTTCTACCTCTACGAAGAACAGCACTAATCTAACAAGAAATGACACATTCAGCTGGTTATTTTTTCAAGGGAGATAATAAACTAAAAAAATTATATAGGTCACAGAAACATTAAAGAATGGCAAAGAAATGGATGAAAGAGTAGTGTATGCTAAGGGTGCGAAACCTTTATAATATTGTTAATGAGGAAGTTTAGTATGTTTTATGTGAAGAAATTTCTCATCGGCTGGGCCGAATTTTCGATGGGCCTGCGGAAATATATTAACTGTTCGATAATTTTTACTGTTTGAAATTTGTCATGGGCCGAATTTTGCATGGGCCAAAAGGCAGCTGCCTAGTTTGCCTGTAGGTTAATCCGCCTCTGATAATTAGACATGAGAATAAGTTCTACTTGGCCAACTTCAAGCTGAAATAGGTCAGTTGTCTGAAGATCGCATAGCGTGAAACTCTGAGTTACAATAATATGGTGTTTTTTTTTAGTTCTGTTTGAACATTTCAATGTATGATGTGTGTAAATAGTCTTCAGAAATACAAGAGCTGCACGAAAATCGCACTTATACGTCAAACGCCAAATTTCAATCGCGGATTATGGATTAACGTGTAGCTGAAGGCTCAAATTATGACGGTGGGTATCTTCACAATGTCAAGCTTTTGCGGACTGCGTCTTCTACCTGGACTACAATAGCCACCTTTCTTGTATCATCACAGAAAACAACGATTGAATTAGATCGTAAGAAAGCGAATACGACCAATCCCAGCCCTCAACAGAAAGAATGTAAACGTTGTTGCCATTGTTTTTACTAACCAATTTGAAATGATGAAAATTGGGCCCAAACGTCTGAAGTTGGACGATATCATTTCTTGGCATATTGTTACCCAATTCAAGTGACCTCTCAAAACAACTTAACTCACATTTACTATTTACTTACAGAAATAAAAAAACATTTTATGACTCTGGCAGATTTATTAGTGATAGTCAAAGCTACAGATCTAGTTTAATAATGTTGATCGTATGTTGACCTTGAAAATTTCTTTTGAAACTAATTTGCGTCAAAAGTATAATGCAAAATTTTTATAATAAAAAAAATTGAAAATTTTACCTGAAATATGTTATTTACATCTTTGTATCTACTTAATCAAAATAAATCAGTTTTAAAAGGGTTATTCAAAACGGAGAATACTAATTCTTTATTTAGCAGTGTGTTTTGGCCTCATAAAGACTCAATATTTTCTAGTGGAAGCTTATAGAATACATAGGACAAAAATGTAAACCTTTTACAAAGTTTTCGTGTTAAATATCAACCGCAGGATTTTTTAAGTGAAAACTTTCAGATAAGTTAATGTGCACATTTCTCTAGATTTTGGTGTAGTTTTCATAAATATAATTATAAGAAATTTGTCACCTACTAAAACAAACTAAAAGCTTCTTTATTTGAGTCTAATACAATCAAACTAGTTGTCTGAAAGACAGATAGGAAAAGTAGGACAACGTAAGCCGTCGTCGCTTCAAGGAGGTTTGAAACGCAGGATTTTAGCCCCTTGATTTTCACAATTTTTTATTTGGGGGAGTATGCTCACGGATCCCCTAGAATTACTCTCATATAAGTTTCCTTTACAACTGATCCAGTACATCAGCTGTGATCCTTGACTTCTATGGAGGTCAATTTGCGCCATTAATCCACACTCCACCGATTTTTCTATTAGTAATACAATGATTCAAAGACAAATGTAAAATATCTTATTACCTACTACTTATAATTCAAACAACTTAATGATTGAAAGGCTAAAATCAAATGTTTATATTCATATGTAATTTAACTAAAACGTTCTTTCAAATAATTTATTTAGCATCTTCCAAAAATCTTAAATAATAAACCACCATAATATTTGATAAATGTCAGTAGTAAATTGGAAAATGTTTGTAGTAAAATGATAAGTGTAACTTCTTTTGTGTATTATGTCTTCTGTTTTATCTCAAATGAATTATATTTTATGCAAATTATTAAGTTATTACCCTATTGAATATTCAGCATTGATACGTCATTTTTTTAAACAATGACTTCTCTATGGTGGCCCATAACGAAATAAATTATGTTTTTAAAAAATTGTCTGTTCTGTTTCGCCTTAAATCATAATGGCGAATGTCACCGAACAGTCTTATCAATGCCCTGATTAGATGTGAAGCTCCATAATGGTGATATTTTCCATCCGCCCGTTCGTCGGTCCGTTCACAATTGCTTGTAAATATTCTAAAAGTCACAATTATTGACAGATTTTGACAAAACTTTGTGCAATTGTTTATTATCACTCAAGGATGAACCTTGATTATAAGACAAATCGAAAATGTTAAGTATGAACTATTGCCCTTGTTCTTGAAAACTCATTCAATTTTTTTAGCTCGTAAACACTTTTGAAGGCCCTATTCCTAACAGATTTTGACATAACGTGGTGTCCATGTCTATTATTATTATCATTATGATTAATGTGAGTTATTACCCCTGTTCTTGAAAACACGTCATATTTTTAGCTTGTGAACACTCTACAAAACACAATTCTTGGCTGATTTTGACCGCAGTTATTGAAATTTGTTTTTCATTGCTCAGGGATGAAACTTATAGAAAATAACAAAAATATTTATTTTAGTTGTTGCCATTATTCTGTGAAAGGTGTTCATAATAAATACTCTAGAAGACACAATTATTGGCGCATTTTGACGAAACTTAGTGAACTGTTTAATTTCAACTATGGATGAACAATATAAAAAAATGAAATATAGGTTTTTGTGGATATCTGATATCCAGGTCCATTCTAAGTGTTGTATCTTGCTTGCGGTGAACGATAGGATACTGGTTGATAAGGTATTTGCACTGAATGTTAAATTTCGTCAACAATAATTGTGCCTTCTATGTGGATCGACAAACGAGGGCAATAACTCATAATCATCTGACGTATTGTTTTTCATTAGGGTTCATCCATTGGTGAAAATAAACAATTTCACCAAGTTTCGTCAATATCAGTCAAGAATATTTCCTTCTGGAGTGTTGGGTCACCCTTGGATGATAATGAACAATTATCTCAAGCACTGTGCCGTGCAGAGCGTTTACAAGCTTGAAATTGAAAATGTTTTAAGAACAAGGACAATAATTCATAATAATACTACTAATTCATAATGTTTTTCGATTATCTTATTTTCATGGTTCATCTGTGATAATAAACAATTACACCAAGTTTTGACAAAATCTTGTCAATTTGTTATGATGATATTTTTAATAGGTTTCACCCATGAGTGATAATAAACACCATGTTTCATTAACATCCGCCAAGAATTGTGCCTTTTGGAGAATATACGAGCTAAGAATTAAACGCGTTTTTAAGAACAAGGGTAATAACTCAATCTTGATAGTGATTACTAACACTCACACTAAGTTTCACCTCTCAAGAATTGTGCCATTTATATTTTACATTGGTCTTTGAATCAGTGTATTAGACAAATCGATAGAGCATGGACTGATGGCACAAATTGATCTCCATAGACCTATAACAATTCACTTTCTTTGCTGTTCAATTCATTTAATTTTCGCTGTTATCTGTATTTATAACTGTCATTACTTCTCTTGAACATCTTCAGATTAAAGGTGATATTTACGATATGATTTGAGTAGTTCAATGGCTCTATATAAAATCATTCCGAATATTGATGTACACAGATGCTCGAGGCTCTGATTGAAAACAAAATGTTGTCCATTATATTGTTGTCTTGTATCTCTGTGGCCTTTACGACACCAGCCAACAGTGGACAAGACTTTACCAAGTAAGTATTAAGTATAAAAAATAATATAGTGGTATGGACTAGAAACCTGTTAATTTGACACGCTTAACTAATGGAATGTGTTCTACTGATACGATTTTTTCTGAAAAGATAAGATTTTAATGCGTGGGCATACTACATGTAGAAGAAATACAGAAGATAAGTTCTTATAGAGACAGGATTAGGCTAAGTAACAAGTAGCCACGAATGAAAAGCGTGGTCGTACGTCTTATACTTTGTCTGTATCTTATTGGGCATCTAAAGCCGCACAACGCTATACAGTATGCATGAAGGAAATATCGCTAGAACAGTGGCATCAGCCTACTTTTATTGATTCACAGGATCAGGGGATCTTAAATTGCATAGCCTAAAGTACATGGAGCCTTGGAACCACAATACGCTTTCCCGTGTCAGTGTCGACTGAACTTCGACCTTGAAGTTTGAACCCTAGGCAACATAAGCCATATTCCTTTAGCAACGGTACGATGATCATCATCTAGCCGTTGCTCTTACAATCTTAATTATTGTCATAAAGTTTGATTGGTAAAGAGTTTACTTCTCTACCAATAATATTCGTTCAAACAACATTTTGCGGGAAAATGTTTGAATAACCAGACGCAAAATTTGAAGTACCAAATTTACTTTCTTTTAAATCTGTAAGTTCATAGTTGAGTCATAGTGCCAAACAGCTTTGATAGTTTTCAGAGCAAGAATTTTTACGCCTCCTCGAATAATATTCACATGTATTCCAAATGACCTGCGAATCAGTGACTCGACAAAGCAAGTAGGCCTACGCGCGACTACACAATTGAGTTATGTACCCTCTCATTGCGTCGGTTTCTGAAATTCTGACACTTGTGCGTACCTTTCTGTCAAGTTTCACATTTATCACTGATCGACAAGTGGGTTGGTGCGAATTTGCAATAGTTTCCGATGATTCAATGAAGGCCGCCATTTTCAATCAACGTCCTTTTATTCCAAATACTACGAGATTCCTGATTGGATGTCGAATGTGACGTATGGTCTACCAAGGGAGGTTATTAGTCCGAGAATATGGGATTGATTTGAATAAGCATCTACCGCTAAAGGAACATGCATATAAGCGAGCAAACGTTTAACTCACTGAGCTACCGAAGCCCTTTACGTGTACAGATGATAATTATTTTGGCCTTTGGGTAAGTCATTCTAATTTTCATTATAACTGTTGTAGAAAACCACGTAGGCCAACTAGGTTTTCTTTTAAAGATAAATGGAACAAATCCAAATGTGGATACTAAGTTTTTAAAAATTAAAATTTTAAAATTATTTTCCAGTTTCCGTTTAATATCAGTTAAAGCCTCTACTCAACAACAGTTACAAGTATTGATGAAGCTACAAGCTGATGGTTTAAATGGGGTAAGTGGTATTCTTTCACTCTTAATTCTAGCATTGGTATTTCCAGAAAAAATAAATGATGGTGATGGAAACAGTTTTTCTGGGATCACTGGAACTATAGGCGTCGGATGGGAACTTGAAATATGCTAGTTTAAATGCATCACCCTGCCTTTTATTTTAGGAATTTTATGACTTTTGGGCAGATCCCTCCACAGTCAGGAATTCTGAAATCATGGTCAGCCCTGCTCAGTATCAAACAGTGGTTACACATCTTCAAGCTAATGGTTTAGAACCCCACGTTGATATTGACAATATCCAAACGTAAGTACACACAAGCATACCTGGAATATTTATCATTGCATGAGAAATAGACCAGCCTCGTCCGTTTTTCTAACATCAAAGTTTAAAAAAAATCAGATTTGAATTGAAAGGTCTAATAAAAATAAGTATTGCTATTTTGTTTATTTTTGCTTACAGTTTAGTTGATAGATCAATGCAGAGAGCAAAAACTGCTACTCCCCTGAACTTCAATAATATTGTTGATCATGGACAGTATCATACTTTAAGTCGTGTAAGTATATCATTCATATTTTCATTTTTATACGCCCACATGAAATGGGGGGCGTATATTGCCATCACCCATGTCCGTCCGTCGGTCCGTTCGTCGGTCCGTCTACAATTGCTCGTAAACACTCTACAAGACATAATTCTTGACGAATTTTGACAAAACTTGGTATGAGTGTTCGTAATCACCCAAGGATGAACCCTATTGAAAATCAGAAGAATCGAAAAATATTGAGTATAAGTTATTGCCCTTGTTCTTGAAAACGCGTTCAATTTTTAGCTCGTAAACACTCTAGAAGGGACGATTCTTGATGGATTTTAACGAAACTTGGTATGAGTGTTCGTAATCACCCAAGGATGAACCCTATTGAAAATCAGAAGAATCTGAAGAATCTCTAGAAGGGACAATTCTTGAAGAATTTTGACGAAACTTGGCATGATTTTAAAAATACTGTTGAATTTATAAAAATACTGTAAAAATTATTTTTTAATTTGTAAAAATACTCTTGACTTTGAAAAACTAGTTAGTAAATTCATGATAATGTTTCATGGAATCGAAGCCTGTGCCAAGTTAGTTCCCTACCACCGGTTTTAAGGAATCAATTAAACTTATTTAAGACTGTGTGCATTTTGGAAGCAGACGTTGAGGTTTAATAATCATTCAATCCCAAAGCAGGCGAGGTCAGCTAGACACTCCCAACCGAAGTTATATGACCAGATTCAGTTCCATTGAAAACAGTAGGGTTGTCAATTAAACCCTGCCCCCCTATCAGAGTGCTGGAAATTATATAATTATTAAGCAAAAACAGATAGCCGTTAATAAGTTTCAAAAAGTATCAAGAAGGTAGTCTACAGGTACATGTAACGTGTTAGAATTGTTTCCCAAGGAAGTATTATTTGTGATGAAACGCTGTGTTAAATTGTTTATTTAGAAGTGTGCTTATCCTTAATATTGTCTTCTGTTTGTGATTCCCGAGGAAGGTTTTGTTTTAACCTAATGCAAATTTTATTTTTTCAGTTATTGGGCTCCTCCGCCTCAGATTCACAATTTATGTCGAATAATTTTGATTGCTATGTTTGAGCCGTTAATATGTTTCAAAAATACATGGTTCAAATCAACCATCAAGTGAACTGGGATAGACAAATGGGCAAATCAAATCTTTCATTAGGTTAATAGCCACTAGCCTCGGGATAATTACTGTGAATTAGTAATCTCCTCATATGGATACAATTTAATGTCTCATTAATCCAACAAACGGTACCAAGACATGGGGGGAGGGGGGAATGATTTCAGCATCATCAGCATAGAGTGACACGTATATTGAATTTCAAATTGGAAAGTATTTTTACAAATTGGAAAGTATGTTTACAATTGGAAAGTAATTTTACAAATTGGAAAGTATTTTTACAAATTGAAAAGTATTTTTACAAATTGGAAAGTATGTTTACAAATTGGAAAGTATGTTTACAAATTGGAAAGTATTTTTACAAATTGAAAAGTATTTTTACAAATTGGAAAGTATGATTACAAATTGAAAAGTATTTTTACAAATTGGAAAGTATGTTTACAAATTGGAAAGTATTTTTACAAATTGAAAAGTATTTTTACAAATATTGGAAAGTATTTTTACAAATTGAAAAGTATTTTTACAAATTGGAAAGTATTTTTTCAAATTCAAAACTATTTATTCAATTAAAAAACATGTCATATTTTCAGATAAATAACCATATATACTGTTTGTAGATAATAATAATATATTTTACAGATGTGTAAATACTTTAATGTGTTTCAGATCAATAACTATGCAGATTCATTTGTCAGCACATACCCAACTCTTGTGAGAAAACGTCAATTGAGTGAAAGAACCTACTTGGGAAAGACCATGGAATATCTTGAGGTAGGTAATAATTTTTATGAATTCACGAAGAGAATAAAAACATAAGTCATGACTGCAACTTACAAAATAAATGTATCTTTATGTATGTTTAGAACCAAAATCGTAAAAGATATAATTTAAATTTAGAATCACCTCCAATATAAAACTATCCAATGGCATACAATGACATGTATGTTACAACTTGTGAACGTTCGAATCTGAATCAATGGAAATTATATATATCCTATGTGAACACTTTCTTCAAGAAAAAAACCCCTTATAACTCCGCTATTATCATCGAGAATATCATGGACTCTGCCGATTGGAATAAAATTACAACTTCACAAGGCCAAACCTATTTATAGACCGAAACATCTGCCTCTATTCCAGTCTCTGGTAGCTATTTGTACAGCAGTCGGCTTGTTTAAAATAGCTTTCTGAGTCCGGAGGCAGATGTTTTGAACTAGGCCAAATTGTCCAAACTTTGTCCAATAACATTCTGCAAAATATATATTATTACAGATTTCAAGAGATTTCGCCGGAACCAAGCCAGCCATTATAATAGAAGCTACGATTCATGCCAGAGAATGGATTTCACCTGCATCAGTTCTATACTTTGTTGACAGAGTAAGAATTTATTGACATTGAACCTCAAAACCGTTCTAGCAAAAATCATTTTTAAACCTGCTGGTAGTTTAGTTTAGAGTTCTCAAGATCCTGTCAGCCTTGGATAAAAGGTCGCTATATACATGTAAAATATGTAGTAAATATAACACCTTTCTTGAATAGTGCTTAAAGCCTGAAACATATAGTATTTTTTTTATATCAAGAAGGTAGTTAGGTACTTGTAACGTATTAAAATTGTTTCCCAAGGAAGTATTATTTGTGTTGAAACGTTTGAAATGTGTTAAATTATTTTTTAAACGAGTGTGCTTATTCCATAATATTGTCTTCTGTTTATTTGTGATTTCGAAGGAAGGTTTTGTTCTATATAAGAGCGATAACCTAATGCAAATTTTATTTTTTCAGTTATTGGGCTCCTCCGCCTCAGATTCACAATTTATGTTGAATAATTTTGATTGGTATGTTTTACTTGTCGCTAACCCTGATGGTTATGAATACACACATACAGACGTAAGTTTCTTTTTTTTCATTCTTTATACTGTATTAACTATCAAAATCACATTATTGGTGATGCATGTTGTACTCAGAATTTTAAGAGTAATCGATTACAAATCAAACTTCAGTAATCGAGCAGTGAAGTTGAATTCGGTTATATTTATAAAGCTGTGGAAGTAATCTTAAAAATCTTTGGTATTGTGGAACCTGCGAGAAACAATCTGTCTTTTGATCATACCTAAAAATGATACGATATTAATCGATGAGAAATAAAGATATTCCTATGTGACGAAATATTAATAGGTGAAATATTATGTATTTATGTTTTTAAATTTTACATTTTGCTAGTATCGAATGTGGAGGAAAAATCGTAGTCCCGGAAATGGTAATTGTTATGGTGTTGATTTAAACAGAAATTTTGAATTCCGTTGGGGACGTAAGTTTATATTAAACATTTAGGCATTAGAAAGTTGTCAAATGTTCTGGAAAGTAGGCAGTATGAAAGTATTTTATTAGATTTTTACAGTCCAATTGATTATAATTATTTTAGTTACTGGTACTAGTAATAACTGTGGTAGTGATATTTACCTCGGACCATCGCCAATGTCAGAAGTTGAATCAAGAAATATTAAAGAAATGGTAGATACAGTTCAAGATGGTGGAACTCGTGCTATTGGATTCTTGGCCGTACACTCCTATTCTCAAATGATATTATTACCATATTCTTTCAATTATAATGAAAGGCCTCCAAATTCTAATGAATTGGTGTGTAAAATTTCTTATATTTTTTATGTTGAAGGCCCACAAAAGAAAAGAATACCAATATTTAGTAGTTCGATTTACTGTCGTCTCAGACTCGTCGGGACATCAGCTAGTTTTGGAAATGGGTACTGACTTTCCGATATTTATGAACTTTAAACGTGTAAGCAAAGTATGCAAATTCACTAAACAGTACTTTTCTAATCAGTATAGCCAAGTTAACTAATTCTCTTCCAGGATAACTATGGCTATGCAGCTGGTAGTGCAATGTCTGCAGTTAATAACAAAAATTTCCAAGTTGGAACTGGACCAAATTTGTTATGTAAGTCGTTTCTAATAAAAACTATCATGAGGCCATCTGCAATGCAAGGTCATGTACAGAAAATAAACACACGAGTCATAACCGATAATAAAAAATCAAAGTCTGATAAAATAAAATCAAGATCTTGTGAAACTGGCAAAACTCGAGGGAAACAACATTTAATGAATAAGGCTTGCAAATTTCATTCGAAACAGTCCGTTTGAATTTGATATTTTGAAAAAGTATAGTCCTGCTTATACTATCATTTATACAAAATAGATTGGATACTATGATTCATGTATTTGCAGATCCAGCAGCCGGTGGATCAGATGATTGGGCTATTGCACTTGGATCTGTTAAATATGCTTACACTTACGAGTTACGACCAAGAACATCAGGTGAAGGTGGATTTGTTTTGCCTACAAGTGACATCATTCCTAGTGGAGAGGAATTATACGCGTCCTTCTACTCTCTAGCTCAAAGTTTCGCCTCAGATAGTAAGAAATAAGCTGTATCTGAAAGCCAATTGTGTACAATAAATGTATTGAAATTTTGTATTTATGTATATTTCAAGAAAATACACCACAGAATTACAGTTTTATTAAAGCAGGCATCATATAAACTATCCAGCTCGGAAATGAAAGATAATTTTGCACGAAATAGCTAATATTTAGGGGTTAGACCAGTGCTTCTTAACCGAGGTCCGTATGCATCTCCAGGGGTGAATTCAAAATTCTTGAGGGTGAACTTGAGCAACGGTTTCAAAATGAAATCACTATATGTATCAATATACGCCACTGGCAGCTTGGATTTTGAATACAAATATTTGGCAGAACGGTAACAATCATCAGTATGAAATATTCAACCATCAGTCATACACTTCTTTTAAACATTTTGGGGCTGTACTGAACAATATCAATAATCTTGCCTTTTAGTGTTTATGAGCTAAGAAATTAAAAGCGTTTTCAGGAACGAGGTCAAAATCACTATTTTTTTTATTTTCAATAGTGTTCATCTATGGGTGATCATAATCAATTTCACCAAGATTCGTAAAAATCTGTTAAGAAAAAAATTATGGTCTGACCGACGGACATGGGTGACGCCAATATATATAAGAATAATTGGGCCAGACTGTAACCACTTCTAGGGTCTAGAGAACATTTGTCAATTTGATGACACCACCAGCAAATCGAATTCTTGCCCTCTCCGGCGCTGAAATTTTGTGACGCGATGAAGTTTGGATTTTGTGACGCGATGAACAAAACGTGCATTCAGTGCCTAATGCCTCTCAGAATAACCTTTTGTTCGCGTCACAAAATACCAGCTTTAGAGAGGGCAGGAATTTGATTGGCTGGCGGGGTCATAAAACTTTCTTTAACTGAAGTGAAAAATGAAAGCTAATAGAAAACGGAACGATTGTTTGGTCTTATTTTATTTATAGGCTACTGATGTTTTAGATTTCTGGGGGTGAATGATGGAGAAGTTTTTTTCTCAAAGGGGGAATTTGATCATAAAGGTTGAGAAGCACTGGGTTAGACCAATAATAATTGTGCGTCTAAGTTTTTGTTATCAACAAATACGATCTAATAAAGTCAATATCTGGCGCAATTGGTGTGTTTCCTTTGGAAATAAGGTAGAAAGTAGTCACCATATCCCGCTCCTTGTTTCCATTCAATCTCAATGTCGTATGTCTATGATGACCTTGCTACCAGGTACCCGTGATATGTGATGTATATCATGTGGTTTTGTTATCAATTTTGATAGGAATATAAAAACAGGCCAAGTAATTTATTTATCATATTAGCAACTAGAATATCAAGGTAAGCTCAATTTAATCTATTTTGGTGAAAATCTAATAACACCATTGCGGCTTCGACTCCAGAGATTGTGTCCAGCCAGGTGTTATAGGCTCTTCTTCTAAATGAATTGAAAATGTTTGAATGTGTTTTTATTGATTCATTCTTTCCATAATATAGATGCCTTTGTGTCGGGCCCAAACTGTAACCGACAGATTCGCCTGTTTTTGATGTAGTGCATTCTATTTCACAAAACAGCAACTATGATGTTACTGAAACCACAAATGATTTAAGAGGTTCTCTACATCTCGCTTTGTATTCAAGAACTAGAAACAGGCTGACACTCAAATACCTGTAATCTTTTTCCAGACGGAACTATAGATGCGCTACACCTTACCAGAAATCTACTGGCGTTGATGGTGTAATTTGATTTTAGACATTATGGCAGTAGTTCCCTACCTATTACAACCTTCACACCCCTGGAGCAATCATTTGTTTCATCCACATTTGCAGCATGTGATGATGTGAGGTGCTCTCTCAACTAAAAATAAATTCTTCTCCTACACCAGTTGGCCACAACCCACACCCCCAGGGGAGAAAACACCACAGGTTGGGAACCAGGGCATTAGGGTCTTAATCTTTAATAAGTTAAAATCAATTAAAATTTTGTACGTCAAAAAAGTAAATATTTATTATATCCATCATGACAAAAAGGCGATTTCAGTTTGAATTGGATAGCTAGAGGACGTTTACGTCTTTAACATACGGTACAGTATTATGAACAATGATTTTCTGATATGAGAGACTATGGAACTGGGTGACATGTCTTCTGATGATGATTTGCGTATGAAAATTGAATAAGCTATTAAACTATGCCTGAAGAATCTGTTTTTATTGGTTATCTAATCATAGTTGATAACATTTTGCAAGTATTTTCACACTGGACTTTAACCATCCTATTAATCTAATGACCTGGATTGATAAATATGATTTGTTATTATCTATAGACAACAATGTAAAATGAAAATTGTAACAATATTGGAATTTAAACTCCTTACCAAATCAGCTTTCCAGAAGTGATTTTTATATCTCTACCACGACAAAATATACTGCGTTCATTCTAGTGAGAACATTTCCCTTTTACTCAAAGAATTTCTTTCTATCATTTTCAGATGTTGCGATTCCTTGCCGCTTTTGCCATATTGGGACTTGCTGCCGCTCTTACCCAGGAACTTCTGGACGAGGAATGGACACAGTTTAAAGCTGCATATGGCAAGACATATGCTCCAAAAGAAGAGGCCATGAGGTAAAAAGTAAAGTGATTTGTTAATGTTATTGATATCTATAAGATTAATATCTTTGCGTCTAACATCCATATGAACTAGGTTCCTCAAACAATCATTTTAACTGACTTTTCGTAGTGCAACGTCAGTTATTAGAATCTTAATGGTTTTGTAAGGCACAGACTAATCAATACATGTAATTGTAGAAATCTTTACTTTTAAATAAAAGGCATGTAAGGAGAACTTAACCCAACAGAAGTTCAATACAGAAGACAAGCCATCTGGTAGGAAGTTTAGGTTGTAACATTGCCGTTAAGCAAAGTTACGAAAGCACAGGCACAGGCGCTATACATATGTGTTGTGCTATATAATTATGTATAATCGATGTTTCAGTTGATTACGTTTGAAGTAAAGAATTGTGAACTTTTTCTCCTTGGCATCTGATTCATACCTTGCATTTCACATTGTAGACGAAAGATTTGGAATGATAATCTTAACTACATCCAAAAACACAATCTAGAAGCCGATAGAAATGTCCACTCATTTAGAGTTGGTATGAATGCTTATGGAGATATGGTAAGTTATAAGATTTCAATATTGTGTCTAATCTACGAATGATTCTCAACATGTTTTATATGTACAGTTAATTCAAAGTAGAAGCAATTCAACTGTTACCTTAATCAGTGACGTTAAGAATAATGGTAGATTCATAACGTTCTGTTCTGTTCATGTAGTTGAAATTTAAGCTCTCATTGAGGACGACTATCTCGTTTCGTTTCTGATTCTGTCAATTTCTATGGAAATCTAAAATTCACATGTAGAAAAAAACATCCCGAGATTTTCAGTGTAAGCTGTGCTGAAGAACCACAATCATTCGTTCCAAATCTATCAATTAATTACACTATTACATTGCAGACAAGTGAGGAATTTGTAAGTGTAATGAACGGTTACAAACAGAATGATAATCAAGATAAGAAAGGAAGAACCACGTTCTTACCCCCCTCCAATATTGGTGATTTACCAACTACTGTTGACTGGAGAACTAAAGGTTACGTAACAGATGTTAAAAATCAGGTAATGTCGATCCTGATGTGAGGCTTATTTGTCTATATATGAGAATAGATTTCAGAATGATTGGGATATGACTTTATCACTCGATGCGTTTTATGACTAACTTAAGTCACTATTGATATGACCAACTCAAGGCCATGGATATCTGGTATAACTCTCACTTAGCTTCAGATGAAGGTTTGTTTAAGAAATAAACCATAGCACCATCAAGCGGTAGTCTTTACCTGCGAACATTTCCTTCTTTTTTTGTTACAGGGACAATGTGGCTCATGTTGGGCCTTCTCTACAACCGGCTCTCTGGAAGGTCAACATTTCAAGAAATACGGACAACTCATTTCAATGTCAGAACAAAATTTGGTTGATTGCTCCAAGAAACAAGGTATGGTCTTGGCTTATTCTTACTCAAGGTCTCTTTCTATTTTGCGAATTGTTCATATTTTGACTGACCTTTTACTTTAATACCTATGGAAACAAATTCTGTATAGTTGTGCTGATATGATTTTGTAAGGTTTTTTTTCTGTCTTGGACTAGCAAATTGTGTTTTATCTCCTACGTAGGTAATATGGGATGTGGTGGCGGTTTAATGGATCAAGCTTTTACCTATATCAAGGTTAACGATGGTATTGATACTGAAGCCTCCTATCCATACACTGCTCAAGATGGTACTTGTCATTTTACCAGAGCTAACGTTGCTGCTAATGATACAGGCTTTGTAGATATCCCATCCGGAAATGAAGATGCTTTGAAGGTACAACTTACTTTGAGATTCCACATTTAAATCATCTCCTTGTTAATATCCGAAAGACAATTAAAACTTCTCCCATTGCACAATCTAAATATGCATGGATTTTCCCTGTTAATCCGATGGATCTATATTTCAGGTATGTTCATTACGTTTTCTGTCGAAATTCTACCTGTACGTGCGTTATATATTTTATCATATTTTATTTTTTAGACTGCTGTAGCTACTGTTGGACCTATCTCTGTTGCTATTGATGCAAGTCATCCATCATTCCAACTCTACAAATCTGGTGTCTACTATGACTTTTTCTGTAGTTCCAAACGATTAGATCATGGTGTGTTGGCTGTTGGATATGGAACTGATGGATCTAAAGATTATTGGTTGGTTAAAAACAGGTACGCATTACCATTTACCAGCAATCATAGTGAAGGAAATAGATGATAAAGGCGTTTACCTAAAATTATATAAAGTATGCCAGAATCAATACAAAAAAACCTACTGTGAAAGTTGTAATCTCTGCAGATTCTGTTGTGAGGTAACTGTCGAGTATTGCAGTATAGAATCAATCTAGTGAAAAATTGCGTTAGAAAGTCTGACCGAATGTGCGAATAAATGAGGTCATTAAAAGGGTTTATTTTTTGATTTATTATTTTCCAGGATGATTGCTTTTTTTAATTGTTCAAGCGTATTAGCATGAAAAGGGTGACTTGTAATTAAAAAGGCCTGGGCTTAATATCTGTCACAGACTGAAAAATATCTATGTTCATATTTCTCCTGTAACACATTGAATTTCCTGGACAATAATTAGGTAAACATGTATGAATAAGGTATAAACTCTATATCATTTTTATTTCAGCTGGGGAGCATCTTGGGGTGATAAAGGTTATTTGAAGATGTCCAGAAACAGGCGTAACAACTGTGGTATTGCAACATCCGCTAGTTATCCAACTGTTTAAGTTATATAATAACAGTTGACATCACGTAATAAAATTAGTCACAAAATTTATAAAAGACTTATTTTTTTTTACCATAATAACCAATTATACATTTACACACTGAAAGAGTGGTGACTAATATTTGGCAGTACAGTAACAATTACCAGTATGAAATATTCAACCTTCAGACATACACTTCTTTTGACCTTATTGAGGCGATACTGAATAATATTACCAAGTTTCGTCAAAATCCATCAAGAATTGCACCTTTTAGAGAAGAACATTGGCAATAATATCGATTCCTCTGATTTCCATTAGGGTTAATCTTTGGGTGATTACATACACACCAAGTTTCGTAAAAATCCATCAAGAATTGTGCCTTCTAGAGTGTTTACGTGCTACAAATTTCAAGAAAAAGGGCAAAAACTCATACCAATTATTTTTCGATTTTCTTGATTATAGGCTTTATCCTTGTGTGACAACAAACACTCACACCAAGTTTCATCAATATCTGTCAATAATTATACCTTCTCGAGCGTTTACGAGCTAAAAATTGAACGCGTTTTCAAGAAAACTCATATTAATTATTTTTCGATTATTCTGATTTCCAATAGGGTTCGACCTTGGGTGATTACCAACACTCATACTAAGTTTCATCTAAATCCGTCAAGATTTGTGCTGGAGTGTTTACGAGCTAAAAATTGAACGCGTTTTCAAGAACAAGTGCAGTAACTCATATTAAATATTTTTCAATTTTCTGATTTTCGATAGGGTTTATACTTGGGTGATTACAAACACTCACTTCCAATTTCGTCAGAACGCGTTTTCAAGAACAAGGGACGGACGGACAGGGCGACGACAATATACGCCCCATTTCATGTGGGCGTATAATAAAAAGGTGTTTGTTGAATATTTTTTCACATTGAAATTTCTGGACAGTTATTTAAATTTTCATGTTGTGTCCTGTATGCATTGACAGATTCCAAGATATAAAAGGCAGTGTAACGGCAAACTCGTTGGTTATTCTGATTAAAACAGTGGTAAACAATATATTATTTTTATTCATTTCACTGATACCAACACCTTTTGATGGCAATGATAAACATGACAACAATATCTTTAAAATATGAAAATAATAATAACAAAGACATATATAGGAGTAATAAAAACATTGAGCTTAAGGAAACATGATAACAGAATTTCCGTATGCAGTAAGTCTGCCCTACTTTAAAGGTTTAATGAAATATTTCATCAATATTTTATGAAATTCAAATGTTGTAAACTGTTCACTGAAATATAATCACTACAATATTTAGTAAAATATTCCAATATTGCAACTCTTGATTGACACATTACTTCATCATTCAATGAAATAAGTCTTTATCTTTACTGAAATATATATTTTACATTTAAGTAAGATTGTATCATTCTAATATTCATTACAATATAAACATTTTCTCAGAATTCTTTGTTTTATTTTGGCTTCATATCTAACGTTTATTAGTTTTAACTAAGAATGTGTATAGATGATGGAATAGATATATATTAATATAGACAATTAGACTTCAGATAAATGTAAAAACAATGCTGAAAATAATAGGAAATAATTATAGGAAGACATGGGATTGGCAATTCTAAACTATAACTAACAAAAATGCATCGAAATGGAGTAACTGTTTAAGATCAATTTTTAAATGATGGTTTTGTGTATGAATTAAATACAAATTTAACTTTTTGACTAAACAATCTGATTAAAATACAGATTCAAGTTAGAATCTCACAACCATAAGTTTCAAGATAGTTCCCAATTAAATTGAATCCTTTGGAATTTAAGGAAAAGCATTCTACCACCAATAATTCTTCCTGAGACATGGTTTTTATAAACTATGGCATAACAGATCTAGAATCAGAGAGATTACTCAAAGAACAAACTGAAATAAAACATGTAGAGCTGTATTTTAATCAGGTTGTTGACTAGACCACTACTAAAGTTATTATATTTTATTTTTATATTACTATAAACATGTAGAATTAATTGTAAGGCTTAAGAAAAAGTTGAGTTTGGGGTATTAATGTATTAGAAGGCACAGAGACAATAGCAATATTCACACAATACACATATATACATTTTTACTATAACATTGTCAAATAAATATTACCTACATTATAGTCTGAAACTGTTAAGGAAGCAAAACTATCCTTTGTTATAATATTTGTATCTGTTAAAGATACACACCACACAATCTCAAGATGTTTTAAAGTGAAAAATAAAGTAAACAATCTCTTTGGAATGGTTTTATTAATTATCAATTAATCTAATTGAACAGGAAAAAAAATAACATTTATGAGAAATTGTCATGATGCATGATTATATATACTTTTCTGACATATTTTCTAAAAAGTCTTATTTTAAATATTAAACTAATATTCATTTATTCAAATGTGTGATATCCTTCTGAAATATTCCATTTTTCTTCACAAATAATTCACTGAGCACTTCATAAACAGTGGAAAGATATTGTATTACATTTCAAAGACTTCAAAACTCATTTTGATAAAGAGTGACTTTAAGGCCCAATTCATGGAAAAAATTGTAGCAATTAATGTAATAAATTAATTGTTATATAATTCAACAAGAGATCTTTCAATTTTGATTAAATACAAGCGTTGAAACTAACTATAAATACTTAGCACAAGGATTACAACGTTCACAATTTCAAATAACAAATACACAAAATGATGAAAATTTGTTTTGATTTGAAAAAATCTAAATTGGCTACATACTACCTATAAAGAAAATGTCGGCAAATCTGCTAGCTGTGCACCTTTTATTAAAAACTATAAATTAAAGCATGGAATATATTTAATAGCTTCACAGCAGATCTTCTTTATACAATAAATAATTCAACATTTCTTATAACTTCTTAATTAAATAACACTCTTTATCAGTTTTAACTGTCAATAAATATTGATGAGATAACATTTCAATTGTTGATATCATTTGTAAATACATTGTAAATTGTAAATACAAAATATAAACATTTAGAAACAATTTCATTTTTACCCAAAAGTCTCCCACGTGGAATTACTTAATTAAATATTCTTAGAGAAACAAAGACACCTGTAGGATGGCTACAACAAACAAAATTGTCAACCCTGTTCACAAAGGGTTAATAGAAACAATGATCTATAGCAGTTCAACGATACAATGATGAGATTTGTTATCTTTGGATTGAATAATAATGACTGAATGATGTTATATCACGGAATATAAAGATGACAATAAAATAATGAAAGTATAAACCTAATAGAACTTCTTAGCTTGAGCTTCTTTATTTTGTCTGAAAGTTAAAGATAAAATCAGTTAATATTCTATATCTACTGCAAAAGATAACTACAAAGATTCTTTTGACCATTTCTCCTTTTTTCTATTTAAGATCTACTGCTACATGTTTTCTAGCTTTTTCACATTTCACAAAACATGAATTTTGTACTATGTTCATGACACAAATTCCTAGCCGCAACAGATAAAAAAATTCCAACCAACAACACGTAATATACAAAAAGTGTTGATGTTGATAATAATGTATTAAATTACCTACCTGTACACCATATAACCTAACATGAATATTAATTGGGCACCTATTGCTATAAAAAATATCATTGGTGATAGACAATTTATATTGGGGCACATAGGTGGTGGACATCCTGATAAACTACCTCCCTAAAATATAAATAAAGATATAGATTGATATAAAAAGAATATGATATAGAGTGGCCACCAGAATACTGAGGTTGGTATCACAAACATGTTATGACAGGGCGTAAGTTTGAAACCAAAAGTACCTCTCATACAGAAAACTCAAGTAAATGGAATAACTATCTGAATCTCAAACAAGAGGGTTCTATTCTCAGTGACCATTTGATTGCTTACAAGTAACCATCTATCCTGACTTCCTGATGAGTTCAATATGTATTTGTATAAACTGACTGAGTCACATCTGTAGTAAATTTCTTTTAACAATCTATTCTTACCTGTGGTCTATTTAATAAATTTGTTACATCTTTTCTTACACCTTGTAAGTTATCTTTTAATTCATGGAATGCCATTTGATTACCCATAGCAGCTTGTCCACCACTAGCTCCTCCACCCTGCATTGTTGATGCTTTAATTTGTATATCATTAACTAATCCTCTACAAATATAATAATTAACAGTATAAATATGTTAACTGGTTTTACATGTTACATTATCTTCAGACAAAAATTATCCTCATTTTGGGATGATTCAGACCAGAATCTCCATGTAAAGTAGACTTGGACAAATGTTGGTTGAAAGCATCCCGAATTTTGCCAAATTGTCCAAATACTGCGAACAACTAGACTAGATAATCATATAGTATTAGTCCTCACTGCCCTCTCTCATTTATGACGCCCCAGAAACCACCTGAAGTAGTTTATATGTTAATGAACACAATAGCAGTAAACTTTGTAAATGAGTATCTGTTGATTATAAAAGTCTATGATTGAGCTTTCAAAGTGAGGCTGTTAAAATGAAATGGGAGTAGAATAACATACCTCATCTCTCTAAGTTGTACTAAAACATCATTTTGATTAGTAAGTACTTGATTAACTTCATGTCTTTTTATTGTATCTATCATAAGAGGTTGTTGACCCTGACAAAAGACAACAAGATGAAATTCAAATTTCATGGGATGATAAATAATCAGATTCAAATATCAAAATTTATCAAATTTCATTCTTTTAAAATATAATCATCCAAATAAAAAGGAGATCCAAGGTATATATTTTAGACAGAAATGTTGTGAAAGCTACAAGAACTGAAAATAGTTTCAGAATCAAAATTCTTACCTGTTGGCCTTGACCTTGAACAGGCACTGGTTGACCACCACTGACACGAGATAAAACTAATTCCTGTCTACCTAATAACTCATCTAATTTACGATTTAAATCTTTCATTGTTAAATGTATATTACTCTGTCCTTCAAATATCATCTTTAATTCTCGTTCATTTTGACTTTCAAACTGAAAACAAAAGAATGAAAATGGAATATGAAGATGATAGGGATGAACGTTGATATCAGTATCAAGCTAAGAGACTCATAAAGTATGTCCAAACATAGAAAATTTATAATACCTTAACTTTATTAGTTTCTCTGAAAATTCTAGTTGCAAATTCATATTTCAAATCCAGAAACGAATTGGTAGATTGTGATAAATTTTTAAATTGTAATTGGATCCATCAAATCAAATTTTTAAGTAAAGCTAAAGATTCACAGGTTCTATTAATTTAGCATTTTGATGAGATAAATTGATGATGTTTTAGTATTGATGATCTATGTACAGGGAATAGGCTAACAAATTGATAAATGCAATTCTAAGGAAAGAATAGCAGCTAGCAGCATGAAGTAGAAATTGGTCAAAGTGTAACTGCTTTTTATAACTTTTATTTTGAAAACTTCTCTATTTCAGAAGCAGGGTCAAGAAAATGTGGTGGTAAAATAAAATTTCATTTCACATAAATGAGAAAAGGAACAAGGCAACTAGAAACAAAAATTGTTGTAAAACTCTGATAATGAAGTTAAAACAATTGTTAAGACTTATTGGACATATAAAAGTTAGGACAAAACTACAAAAATATGTTCCCACTGCAGGTCTATATAATTGTTATTATAATTTAGTGTTAAAATACGATTTCACTTTTTTTTTATTTTCACATCTAAATATAAATATATACAGTCCACCCCGTTCACTATTCTGATGTTTTACTTACATAATCATCCTATTTAGATAAAAAAAATAAAAATAAAAGAAGAAAAATGAATATATCTACTAGTTATTAAGTGAATATATTTAAGGACAAGCCTTTTTAATACACAATCAATTTGAAGGGATATACATATCGACTGAACACTATTTTCAAGAATTTAATTCTCTGAGAGCTATGATTAGGTTCTAAATCTTGGTATCTTGAAATTTTTATGAGATGACATCCCATAAGAATTTTGAAAATTATAAAGAATTGATCTCAGTGAATATAATATTGACTTACAAAATTATCTTCACCATACTCATCAACTTTGTCAGGATGTTGTTTCTTATAGCTACAAATAACACATACCTTGTTAATAATCAATTCATTTATAATATAGAAATATTAGACAACTGACCTGTATATATAATTCAGCCCGAATCTCTACTGAAGTTGGACAAGTAGTTGACGCAGGCTGAATTATATAGGTCAGCTGTCTGAAGATCGCATAGCGTGAAACTCTGATTATTTAAATAGTGAAAATATTTTATTATTATTGTATCATATAATGTATATGATTTATGTTTAAACACATGTGAAAACATTTTAACATATATAAATGTGGAAAAATCAATTAAAGTCATATACACAGCTGAGTATTGTTGTTTAAATCATATACATAGACTTTTTTTAAGGTTGTTTAAAAATTAGGATAAACACATAAACTTAGGCTTGCAGCAAGTTTGTAAAACAAACTCTATATCGTAGCCTGTAGAGTGAGGACAAGCCAAAAAAGTAAAAAAACACGATATCAGAGTTTTATGCGATATCTCTCAAGAAAATCATTGGATCATCACCAAATTCAATAGTGCACATCTTCATAATGATATTGACACATATACAAAAGATCAAAAGAATCTATAGAGAATTGTAGCCTGTAGAGTGAGCACGAGGTAAATTTGAATGGACGGACCGACAGGGGCAACCACAATATACGCCCATACTTACATGTGGGGGTATAACAATACTTTACATACAATATACCAAATAAATAGTGTAAGTTTAAGGGCTGATAATTTAATATTATACTGAGTTATACTGTCAACATGTGAGACATGTCCTGTATTTTTAGAGCAGGACTGTTGATTTGGTTTTATTTTCCAGATATAAATGACAGGAAAGATCATGTATCCAAGGATATATAAAATCTGTTCTGTCCAGAGTATCGAGACAGAAGACAACTCGTTGTTGAGCTTAAAATCAAGAGCTTAATAGGTTGAAGATTGACCTTACGTCAATTTTATTCACCAGTAAAAATATAGTCTAAAATATATTACCGATAATGTGTTAAATTATAATAATAAATCTACATACTCTTGTTTAGCTTTTTCTAATTCTTTATAATAATCATCAAATTCTTTCTCAAACTTCACTTTTTCATCCTCTGATACAGCCTACAAAACATCAATAGTTTTATAAATTATATACATGATACAACTAATATAAACCTACATCATTTCCCTATAACTAGTTATCTAGCATTGCAAGTAGTGAAACCAATTGAGAGTAACAAACCAGAACTAATATAAAGTGGAGTAAATCAATTGTTATTGGGCACCAGTCAAAAAAGTTAAGGCAAAACATGAGTACTTTCAAGGTTCCATCATTTTCAGGTATACATTTTGCCCCCTAAGTCTACAGTTCTTGGCACTACGTAATTTGCAAATATCTTCCAATAGACCACTTGAAGACAAGATAAGAAAGAAAAATAAACACAAACTAATCTAACCTGTCCCTGTGTAGCAGAAGGTGATAACAAGGAATGTGTTAAAAATGATATAACATCATGATCATCTATAAAATATACAAAATATGAATATTTTAAATGTAACATCTGATAAAGTTATGGTTCACACTCTTTATAAATTCATAGAAGTTTTCATCATTTCAAGGTTTTGAACATTTTGTTTTTTGACAAAATGATAATAAGGTTTTTCCCCGATTATGTCAAAATGTTGATTGACATAAGGATTTAAGAAAAGAAGACAATGCTGGAAGCAAAGTTTGCTAAAATAATCTTACCAGCTAGACCACCAGTAGCAGCACTAACACCAAAGAAACCCATCTTAGGTAAGGTCACATCTACAGCTCTCAAACACAATTCAAATTCGTTCTGGTTTTGTGTCATACCATTGTGATAGTATACCTAAAAATTTAATAAGAAATAAGTCTTTTATCAGTATTATCTCAGATAATTAATTAATTATTTTAATCATTTTACATCCTCGAGTTGTAGACAATGGGTCAACTGTGAATGAAAAATTCAGGATCCTGCGTACTATATATAGTCAGTTAGAGTGTTGGTTCTTTACATGACGTCATTTCCTTGGTTACATCTAGTGAATGGCAGCTGTAGGTCCGATGACCTTGAATAAGTCATCTTCACTCATAATTTCAGGCGATCCAACTGTAAATTGGTACGTATAATCCGGGAAAGATCAATGCCAAGAGGTTTGGTCAACTGTGAACCTAAGTTGTAAAATATAGTTGTTTCTTTCTTTCTACTAAAGATACTTACTGTTAAAGCTTTTTGATAATATTCAACTCTAATTTTAACAGGATATGGTTTATTTCTAAAATCTCTTAAACATCCACCTAACTGTTGATTAAAACCATCACTAGCAACAAAAATAATAATATTTCAAAATTGGAATAATAATCATCACATGTGAGTGATTGTCTACACGCTAGCCAAAATTAAAATTTTTTTACAATAACAAGGGCAATAATTTACAAATCCCGTGACTAAAATAAAAGTTGAATTCATACAAGATCATAAGCACACCAAGTTTAATATCAAAATCAAAAAATAAATTAACCAAGAGTTGGGCAGGGTTACAACAATAAACCTCATAACTAGATACAGAAGTTTCTGTTTCCTTAACAAATAACAGTTAACTCACTTGTGATGATCAAACTGTTTAGTACCATCATTTACTACAGCCATGACATATGGATTGTTTTGCTGTAAGAGAAAATTTGAATTATTTAAATTGATAGGGTGGTAGGTCGAACATTTTTTTACTCAAATTTGTAAACATAGGCTTGTGGCAAGTCTCGCAAGTGAATATGCCCACCAGCAGCTTGATAAAGAGCTATATGTAAACTGTAAAACAAACTGAATATCGTAGCAGAGTGAGCACAAGCTAAAAAAGTTAAAAAACACGATATCAGAGTTTTATGCGATATATCTAAAGAAAATCATCGGATCCTCACCAAATTCAATAGTGCACATCTTCATAATGATATTAACACACATACAAAAGATCAAATGAATCTATAGAGAATTGTAGCCTGTAGAGTGAGCATGAGGTAAATGTGAACAGACGGACAGGGGCAACCACAATATACGCCCATACTTACGTGTGGGCATATAAAAACTATATTTATAGTATTATATACAACAAAATCTAGAGAAATGTCTCTTATTGCAGTGCGTTCTTCATTACGTATTTCGAATTACTGCTCTAATTCTGCATCTATTTTGACCGTAACTTTTGTTTTGTTCATTACTTTAAACCAATGACTAAAAGATAGCACTTTATAAAATTTCAGATTTTGACTTTTGTCGCTGACTTTTTTGGTTTTAAATTTAGCGTTTTTTTCAATTTCTACAATTTTATTTCAATCGGTCTAAAAATTTAATAGTAGATAAGCATTTTGATTCCTGACAAATCTATTTTCAATATGTCGATATCACTTCCGGTTTTGACGTCATTCGCCTCTAAACTTGAAATTTCAACTTCCAGAATTTTGTAGGTATTTGAAAAATTCTTTTTGAAATTAGTTAAAATTGTCCCTATAACAATTTTGGAATGAAAAAAAATTTGAACCGGAAGTAACGTGTTAGACGCCATCTTGATGTGACCAATTTTTGTCAAAAACGAAATTAAGCTTCAGGGGTAAATCTGATTTGTGTGATTTTGGTGTCTAAAGAATCTGCAATCGATTGCTAACAAAACTTAGGAAGCCGATTTTTAAATTTTGGATTCGTATTTTTTTTATTTCCGGTTTTATGTTTTCAGTAATTGTCAAAAATATTAAGGCTCATATCTAGTGACTTTGACCTTTGGTGACCTTGTGACCTGAACAAAAGTTATTGCCCCTGACGAGATATATCCGATGATATCCTCACTTTTGTTGTGCATCGTTAACTTCCGGTTCTACAGCCATTGGAAAATCACGATTTTTAACTTTGAAGAGCTCTGTCACGTGACCTAATTAACATACGACAAAAATTCTTATATATTCTTTGAGTGCATAAAATCTCCTTTTTGGTGATATATCACACTTGATATTTTGATCAAAACTGCGCGTTTTAAAAATCGAAACTACGAATATCTCATGATCTAATGATTGTAAAGACTTGAAATTTTGAACATTATTTAACAATGTAGACATCATCACAGACAAATTAAAATTTTTGAAGTGGGCGTGGCACATCCTGTGTGCATTTACCTTTACCTGAAATTTTTGCAATTGTCATAACTCGCAAAGTTTGTAATTGTCATCCTAAACATTTTGCATGAAAGTAGATCACTGCTTAGGACAATTTGTGATAAGATTACAGTTGTTTGCGTTCTTTACTTTAAAAAAGGGAACAGGTTTAACAATTTTAAAAAATTTTATTTTTGAACTTTAATGTAAATGACCTTGACCTTTGCATGGTCAAAGGTCATTGATCTAAGATGACCATTCTTACTTTGATTTTTGATGTGCAACATATACTTCCGGTTTTACAGACGTCCGAAAACAGCAATTTTCGAAACTTCAAAGGCTCATATTACTTTTATTTAACCTTTGTTGACCTTTTGACCTGAACAAAGGTTGTTGCCCATTAAGAGATATATCCGATAATATTTTCACTTTTGTCGTGCTCCGTTAATTTCCGGTTCTACAGCCAATTGAAAATCGCGATTTTTAACTTTAAAAAAAGGTCTATCACGTGACCTAATTTATATAAGCGAAAATTTATCTTTAGTCCTTATTACACGCAATCTATTCCTTCAAATGATATATAACACTTGGTATTTTGATTCAAATTGAATTTGAAAATTTTGTATTGACTTCTATAGTAACTTTGCGTAATTTTAACGGTTTCTATAATTCACCGACAGTCACCGTTGCCTTAAAAAAACTTTTAACTACGAATATCTCATGATCTAATGATTGTAAACACTTGAAATTTTGAACATTATTTCACATTGTACACAATATTATTACAGACAACACAAAATTTTTGCAGTGGGCGTGGCAAATCCGGGTTACTTTTACCTTTACCATAAATTATTCAAATTGTTATAACTCAAAAAGTTTGCATTTTTCACCATCAAAATTTTACAAAAAATTAAAGCACTATTTGGGACAATATCTGATAGAGTTACATTTTGTTTAGGCCTTTTACTTTAAAAAAGGGAATAGTATTTACAATTTATAAAATTTTGATATTTTGACCATTTACATGCATAAACTTGGTCTTTAGAAGGTCAAAGGTTATTGATCTCGATATCCATTCATACTTTTATCTTTGATGTCCGACATATATTTTCGCTTTTACAAAAGTCCCAAAACAGCAATTTTCAACACTTTTAAGGCTTATATTCTCTTTTATTTGACCTCTGTTGACATTTTGGCCGAAACACAAATTATTGTACCTTTCCAAAAATATTTTCATTTTTGTTGTGCGAATTGAACTTTTAACTTTACAGCTATTTGAAAATTCGACTTTTTACTACCGAATGTTAACACCTTTTAGTACCGAATGGTATCAAATTCATGCGTCTTTTCCTACCGAACGGTAAACGGTTTAAACGATTTGTTCTACTATTGAACGTTTACATGCTTTTCTTTCCGGTAAGAAATCCCATTGTGATTTTAAAATGCAACGTTTTATCGATGTATCAGGTTGGATGCGCACTGCTCCGGCACCGTTATAACGGTTCTAATTATATTTGAAAGTTATCACTAAAAAATCCAGTAGTTCATTTTCTTAACTTTGTAGTTTGTAATGCTTTTTGGAAGACGTTAGAAAACTACTGTATGGAATTTAGAGAAATGTGTCTCCTATTATTCTAAAGGTTTCATCTAATAATATAAAATCAAACACCACAACTAGGTCAAATCAGTAATCTCAGTTTTTAATTTCCATTAGTAATGATTAGAATACCATTCAGTTAACAGACTACTAAACATTTTTTTTGAAATTATTAAGAAAAACATACCATGCCATCAGCACCAACTCTACCTCTGCCAGATACCCTGATTGTTACATCAATCTGCCAGTTTTCAGAATTGATCATATTCTTTGTCCAGATCCATCCTAGAATAAAACCATACTTTCATTTTCATTTCTATCAAATCAAAAGATTGAAATAATATCCACTTTAAATAGAAAGTTTCAACATACCGGTACAGTGCAACCTCTAAAGTTATTACTGATCCTTACAAAGGTGAAATTTGGAATATATTGCTTACATCTAATTTAAAGTTTCCATTGTTCTTTATATACTTAAATCAATCCATTATCTGCCAATGATAATCTGAAATCCTTATTTTTTTCCCCTTGATAAAATATAAGCCATTTGTAGTTTGTACGTGTCTGCCTTATTCAGATGCTCTTTTACTATTTAATCTTTTTCATTTACTACCGTTATAACTTATATGTTTACGCAAAATTTGAGACTCATTCTTTTGCCAAAGTCTAACAAAAAAGTTATCTAAATTAAAGAGAGAAAGTAAATAGAGTCTTGTAAAAAACAAGAAAAAGAATAATGATGCAGTACAATGTAATTATTCAGACCATAATTACCATTGTCAACAGCTGTTCAACAGATTAACTACAAAAAATACTGAACAGTCAATAGTTCTGACTAAATATATCATTAAATGAAAAACTATTTAATAATGAAGAATTACAAATTCCTATACATCCAAAAATGATAAAATTATTGTAGCAACAGGTGTATTCAATGAGGCTTGAAGGGAAAGAGCCAGATGGGAATTCAGGACTATCAGATGTACCAGTGGTTCAGATTTCAAACATAAGAGTGTCAGTTAGTTATTGGAAAAGTTTGGGTTGGTATAATAGTTTTATAAATATCAATAAGTTGATGTGATTGGAAGGAAGTATAACAATTTACTATTTAACGAGACACTGGAACAGGTGTACGGTACTTGATTAAAGTAAATCACATGCTCAATCAAAAATTTCAATTACCATGTCAATGATTAGAGAATATTCAGTTCTTCATGAATTTATAAAGTTAATTTAGATGGTCTTATGATTAGGACTCAAAAGGTGTTATGAATTTTAAAAAGGGGGAAACTGCAAGCTAATAAAGATGATTAATGAAAGCTAGAATAAAACTTAGATTCAGGAAGAAAATACCCCTATTGTTTTTAAAAATTATAATTGTCAAATTGATTTAATAATCAATCTTTCTTAGATAACATCACATTGACACTTTTATAGCTCCTTACATCACCAACATCCTTTAGGCTATAATCTAATCTGATTCAGACAAAAGATCTCTATCCCTGTCAAATATATGGTTGACATTCCTCAATATAATATCTTACAGAAATGATTAAAGAAATCAGAAATATAAATATTAAGAAAAAGCTTAACACAAGAAGCAAATTGCTGGCATAAGAAAGGATCATCTCAGGGCAATCTTGAGATACAAAGACCATATGGCAAGCCATTGAAGGCAATCATCTTATATTTAAGGAAAACATAAATGTACAATACAAAGATACAATATCTAAAATAAGTTTCAAGATAATACTAATAGACAGAAAGAGTAATAAAAGCTGCAAGGTCCTCCCTGTGGTATGGAAAAGAGTACTATTCATAACCCTTAGATTGTACAATTTACAGTACAGACTTACAACACCAAAAAAAAACAAATATTTAATATCCTGCTCTTTTCCAATTGTCTCTCTGACTAAACTAAATCATCTTTATAATCTTTTGCAATACCGGTACTGCTAAATTTAACATGAAGAATTACCTACCTTTCTTGCTGCGTAATGAAGGAGTTATTCTCATAGAATCATCACTAGGAAATGCATCTGAAAATGAAAATCAGTTTTGCATTAATGTTACTCTGTACCTCATAGCTCAAGACTCAAATAGGGCATGTTGTAGGAAGAATAAGGAGAAGAACGCTGTGGTAAATTGGTTGGCATATCAGATTCTCTTTCTGTGGAGGTGTGAAGTTAACAGCTTGAGCATATAGCTCTAGTTTACAGTATGAGTTAGAATGAGCCAGAGTTCATATCTAAATAAACCAACTATTTGCGCATCAACACAACACACTAATTCCCTTCTTCCACCTTGGGATGAACAACTTTGCTTTAACATGGCCAGCGATGGAAAAGGATACAATATAAAGGATTAACTACATTAACTGTTGTCCACTTTTGATTTTGAACGTTGTTGAAAGAAAGTTGAGGAATTAGCGTGTTGAGCATGCGCATATATAGTTTCGATTGGCTTATTGCATTCTCACTATTCAAGATTTAAGGGAGTTAACAATGAATGTACTAATAGAGCTGAGGCATGACAGCTTCATAGCCAGGCCTCTATCATTTAATGTTTTTGCACTCTTACTGAAATGTTGTTACAGATTATCTGAAAGTGAATTGAAATATCATTATCAGTTTGAAACCAGTACTGGTCATCTTAAAATGACCTTGCATTGAATGATGATAATTAAAGATTATGAATACAATTTCGATTTTGGTAGTGATAGTCGTTAGGCCTAATAATGCATACTGCTTTGCTAAGACGTAGACATTTAAATAAAAGATAAATAAATTGGTTAAATCGGACTGGAGAGCAATCCAGAACCCTCACAAGTTGTATTCAAATTATTCCTAAATGAGCAGACAGATATTTGAAGAATTGGTTATTTATATCTTGACCATATGGTTTGAAAATAACACAGAATAGAAGGCCTGAAACAATAACACGTGTACAAAACAAACAATTTATATTCAGAACCTTGCAATGTTTCAACTCACCTCCACCATACGTCCAAAATGGCACTGATTTATCTCTTTGCACTAGATGTGGACCTTTAAAACTTAACTTATATTCGAACTTTGCTTTAGGAATTTCACATTTTACAATATAAAGTGACAGAGAAGCAAAAATAACAAAATACATTCGATACGAGTCCATGTTGACGTTTTGACTGAAACGGAAGTGAAACTTCTGACCTATTTGAAGGATCGATACGTGTAAAACGCATGCGCAGTATTACATTTACTCCTCGGCAAGAGAGGTGGATGACACATAATATAGATTCAACCGTAGTCTAAACGTTTCACATTTTAACTCTAAATGGTCCATTTTAATGATTTGTTGATTATATAAAATATAAAAGTAATGCTATGATTAGACAGTAAAATTTGAGCACATTTTTCTGATCTGACTGTGTCAGAATTGAATCAAACAGATCATATGGGTCAATACAATATGACCTTCAACTTGACCTTTGATCCTTCTCTATCCGGATATTACAGTTGTGCCATTTCATAACCCGTTTCATGTTCAGTGTATTAAATAGTCTGGGCAGGGTCGTTTCTCGTAAAGTATCAAGAAATATCAATCAAATGGAGCAAGTTCTACCCCATTTTGCCGAGGGTGAAGTTGTTAAAGGTTTTGGTAGAGGAAGTAAAGAGTTAGGAATACCAACTGGTAAGGATACTGACTATATAGTACTAGTGTTGTAGTTGTGAATAATCTTTATTCACAATCTATGTACATAGGCCTACTGTGAATTATGAATAGAATAGATCTAATAATAGAAGTAGATATTTTGTTTCTACCTTCTTAGGCTGCTACCTAAGGTATGTTTTGTGATGTAGAAATGGTTTTGTAACAAATGGAATGAAACAAATTATATTAGTATGATTGATGTAGGCTATAAATGAAAAATCTGAAAAAGTTAGAGAACAGAAGCAGATATGCCTACAGCTGTACAGCGTCGCATGGAATTGGAAGTGTAAAAGTCAACATATTTTTTACTTTAAATTGTTTCAGCTAACTTTCCAGACAATGTTGTAGACAATTTACCAGAATGTATAGGTTGTGGTGTTTATTATGGTTGGGCGAAGGTTGATCAAGGTTCAGTTTTTAAAATGGTCATGAGTGTTGGGTGGAATCCATATTATCAAAATAAAAAGAAGACAATGGTTTGTAATTTTTTTTTTTTTTTCGGTTAGCATTATGTAAAATAAATAGTGTCAATACTCAATGAACATTACAAATTGATATATTGTTTTATATGAAAATCATGTCAGAAGATTTAGGAAAACCATCATAAAATCAACCTTGTCAATCTGTCCATAATACCCACTTTCCCCTGCAAGCAAATAAATTAAGATTAAAAGTTATTTTAGTTTATTGTTTTTCTATAGATTCACTGTAGATCTGATGAGATTACTCATTAAATCAGTCTGAACAATAATAATGATGTCATAATTTGTGATACTTGTAACTAATCAAATTAATAAATTAATATTATTAGGATAAGATTACTAGAATCAGATTATGAAATTAATAATTATAAGTGTTTTACTTTGTTACAGGAAACGCATATAATACACGCATTTGTAGATGATTTTTATGGTTCACATTTAAAAGTTGTTATGTTAGGTTATATCAGAAATATGAAGAATTTCAGTTCTCTAGGTAAGCAGCTATTTCAATGTTTAATTGTTCACACTATGTTGGTAATATGACACTGTAATATATTGAAATTAAGACATAGTTTAGGTTTAACTTGACCTCAATCTGTTATATATATAAAAGAGTTACACAGCATGAGACCTGTTAAGATCTAGTTAAGGTGTCTTTTTCTATTATAGAACTTACATATTACAACCTTTTTGGCCTTACTGTATTATGCAAGATGGAAAGATAGACAAAGCTAGGTGTTTGCAGAAATTATAAGGGATTTGTTATCTGTTTTGTAAAAATCCTTATGATGTTCAGGTGATTCAGTCTTAATTGGTTTTGTGGGATATCAAATATAATACTATATATATATGTTTTGGATATCAAATTCATCATCAGGACAATTGAGGATTTGAACATTGCTATCTCAAATGTCCAACAAAAAAACCCACTGTTCATGAACATTGATGTCAAAGTCATAGTAATGTTTTTATTTTTCAGAGGAACTGATAAAAGCCATAGAATCTGATATATCTATAGCTAAAGATAAACTAGATGAACCAGAAAATATCATGTTCAGAGATCACAATTTCTTTGAAAGTTAACAACTTCTACAGATATACCAATATAGAAAATAAGGGGCCACTTGATTGGTTTTTTCTGTAACTAAATTATAAACAAATTTAAACACATGACTTATAGCCTGTTTCTTTGAAATCAGGAAATACATTTGAGTTTTGACAAATATTCATTGCAAGATTTTATTAAGAAACAGGGGACTGGGTTATTGTGTTGTATAAAAAATCAAAAGTTGTATTTTATACACTTTCATTCTAATTCATATGATATTATTTCTGTTCATTAAACTCGTATACCGGTACCGGTATGTATGCCTTTGTATTCAGTCCAGTAAATCTGTTAGGTTAGTTTTCAAGGAGCTGGCCAAAGGTATTTATTTTGTAATATTATTACTATTATTATGATATATATATACAATACCAGTGAATACCTGAAATATTAATATATGTTACTAATTTCAATATATTTCATATGAATTCTAAGCAAAAAGCAGAAAAAATATGCCTATCTGGGATTTGCCATAATGTCTATGAAAAAACTTTTATTTTCATTTTTTGTTTACAGTCCCTTGTACAAATGGTTTAATGTTAAATGGTACATTTCAATTATATTTATTGCCAACTATGTGTTTTGTAGGTGGTAGTTGTTTTAATGTTGTAAAATACTTAGTTGGAGGAAGTAACATCAAAATATGATTAATTCCCGGTTTGTGTATTATTATTGTAAGGGGAGAGTGTGTCAGCTTCACATCTCCCAACAGCCAATAATATTATTTAAAGTGAAGTTTGGTATTATACTTTAATATCATATTATCAAGTAATTCTTGTTTTATGAATTTCAATTGGCTCTTCATTTTTACACATAGTTTGATTTTCAATTTATTTCACCATAACATTTTTGACTCTTGATGTTAGAAGATATTTCCTATTTTGCGCTTATAGCTGAGTATAGAATAATGACTGAATTTCCCAGAAGGAGTTTATTATGTTCCATTGCCTTTCATATATCATTATAGTTGATCAATGTGATGTGTTATCCGAATATATCTATGTTCCCAAATTCAGTTTAATCCTTGTTTAGCCATCATTAAAGCCTGATATTGATAATATATTGCTTAGTATTAGACTTGTTGTATAATATTCTTTAAATGACATTTAGAAGTAGACTATTTTCTGGTTGTATAATGCTTTGTATAAGAAAGTATAAAGAAATCCTATTGCTTACTAATGTGATGCAAAGTCTTTCAAATGTCAAGTAAGGAAAATCTTAATTGTGTTGTTAGAACAAATACAATGAAAGAAAATGTGATAATTTTGATGTCAGAGTAATTTTTTGTTTTCATCCATGTTTGATATATCTATACTGATTTCCATGGTATGAAAGTTGTTAGATGATAATTTGATTGGGAAGTTTTAATACAATGTTATTGGAAATTTATAATATACAATTATGTTAAATTAAAGATATATATTTTATACACCTTTGTTTTTTTTTTCTCAGACATTATTCATCATTAGAATGCATAAACACTTGACAGTATAAAGTAGAACTGAATATATCTTGCAATCTTCTTTTTAATAGGAACTGAAAATTTCCCTGCCTCAGAAAATATAACTACCACTCTGTCCTCATTTGTCACTGCTTATTTGGATGTATTACTCACACACAAGACATCTCTTGCATGTGAATGAATAATTTTTCTGGCCACTGTGCAACACAGTAGATATATACACATGTTGAATTGTAGAGGTAATATTTAGAGTTTGGTATATTACGATATTATCGAAAAAAACGGACAATACTGTAGGTAATTTTTCCTATATCAGTATACCATTGCAATAATGAGAATGAGAATATTACGTGACATCAGACGATAAAGACTACTACTGTCTATGACCCTGGGCTATCTAGTTACATTTGAATCGCAAGTATAGCCATTTTGTAAAGGTTGGTCAGAATTCAGAAATCCAACCTTTCAGCCCATGAATCCCCTTCCTACAATGTTCTACCAGAGCTGTGCATGTTGAGCTTTTTGTGTCACAGTACCTATATTCAAACTCATATTCATATTGATATCGCAATGTGCATAAAAACAGGAATGTAACACTAGAAACTTTTGGAATAACTGTGTCTGATTGAGAATAACCCAAAATGCTCAGTCTCCTAGCCAAATTGCTTGTTACTTTGCCAAGTCAACAGTCATAATCAAAGAATGAGTTGAAATATTGAAAAAACAATTTGGGGTTTATATTTAAATTTTTTTTTAATAGTTAATAATTTTTATGTAAAGTCAAGTATTATAGCTGTTTATATGCAAAAGCATTCAAATAAAGAGTTCATATTATAGTATATAACAATATTTTATTATGATACAAATGGTGGTTTTACAGGATTAACTAAATGCAGTAAGGAGCCCAGATGGCTGAGGAGGCATAAATTAGATTTTAAACATGATTTGAATAAGAATGATAACGATATATATAGTATGAATATGACAATTTAAACGCATTAAGAGATTCAGATTGAATAAACATACATGATCACATTCAGTTCAGACAGGACAATTCAAGATTTCTAATTTACATGATACATGAAACTTTCCTGAAAGTGTTGACAACTTTCATACTGCAAACAATTCAAGGAATTCAATGATTAAAGGTCAACTAAAACTGAATTCTGAAATCTCATCTCACTCTAATGAATGGATAATATGCTATAAGATGACTACTTCTTTTAGCGTATGCAGCTAGACAATTGAACGTAGATTTAACATTTAGGGACTTTTTCTTTAAGTTTGTATAAGATCTACATTCATGATTGAAAACCTGAAGAAATCATATTCATAAAGTTTTACAGAAGCCTTTAAAGGTGAAAAATAAGATAGCATAGATGTTAACAAAAATAAACACTACTATTCATGTCAAATACACATAATTACCATTTCTTTTTTTTGAAAAAAAACTTATAGCAATCTCAAGTAAGGTCATCTAGGTATAGCACTTATCAGCATTGTATTAAGAACACTATTTTGTACCTGTAGAACCATATCCACCATCACCTCTCTCTGTTTTATCTAATGACTACAAAATCAAAATCAAATATATTAATTTTTCAGATTTTTTTTATTATTTTCCTTTACATAATAAGAGCAGAACTTAATAAATTTGCTTTTTGTTACTTATAAATAAGTTGTTCCTTAAAGGGACATTCTGCTTTTTTTATATGTCTAAAAAACTTTTTGCTCTAATTTGTTATACCAAAATCTATCTATCCCATAATGTATCTGAAAGTTTTAAGTAAAAAAATTCTGCTGTTAATTTTTTAACGCTAAAACTTTGCGCAAAAAGATTATGTAACTTTTTAATGTTCGTTATGCTTTTTGCAAGCTGTTACAAAACTACAGTAGGGATTTGAGTAAAATAAACGCCTAATTGTAGAGAAATATGTCTCCTACATTTTCTAAATATAGAAAACTATAAAGGCAATCACCTAAACTTGGTCAAACTGTTTAATTAACAATTAGTACTCTCACACAGATATAAATAGCATACTTTAGAAATATTTTCAGGTATAATTTACGTTTGTGATAGTGAAAATGTTTCACAAAAGAAGCGGAATACTCCTTTAAGTTTTATAGATTTAAGTACACATTTGTTTAACATTTTCTGTTTAGAATAAATTTTTTGATTCTTTGTATTAACTGCCTAAATATACAGCATTGACAATCAAACTATACCTTTCATTTCCACCTACAATTCTACAGCTAAAAATGCCTCAGTGATAGTCAAACCCTTTTATAAAGAACTTCAGGACGAATTCTCTAATATCTATACTAAACGTTTGGTGTCTGCTTACAAAAGGAATAAAAATCTGAGTAATGTTTTTGTCCATGGTAGATTAGATTTCCTTTCATTAACTCCCTGAAACAATCGCTCCAGAAGTAGGTAATTTCCTAATTTTCCCAATGCTGAAATCCCTACTTGTGACCTATGCCAGTGATTCTGTAAGAGAGTATCTCTTAAAAACCCTTATACTAAATATTGAGCAAATAAGTAATTGTTTACAATTTGCCTATCTAAATAGAAAGCACATTTTGTGAAGTTTGGTATAATGTATTAGAGTAACATGATTTTTAACCAAAGTTTACTTACAATTTCTTCTTGAAGCTCAGGAATATATATTCTTTCACAAAGCAATTGAGCTATTCTATTTCCTTTCTCAACTGAAATATTGTGATTAACATAATTAAGGTCACCATTCACCATGTGTCTAATGGGAGAAATTGTGTGTACTTTAACTTTAGACATTTGTAAATGATGTGATAGTGATGGACACTGGAGGTCATTCATTCCAAATATCAAAAATTAACATTGTTTAGTTTGCTTTATTAGATTTTGGTACCTAGCCCTTCATGCTTTCAGAAAAATTAACATTTGATCACATTTCACCAAAAAAATAAGTTAATTTTTTTGGCTCCTAAATTTAACAAGTGGTTGCCTAGCAAGATACGCCCACTTTCCTGATACATTTTCAGTATATCAAGGGCAGTTACCTATCTGTGTCAAATCATACCATAAATCTAATTTGTGCAAAAAATAGTTGATTTAATTAAACACACATTATTTAATAAAATTCTGACATAAACTGTCACATCGCGTTAACCAGCCTACAAATTTTGATGCCTTTTTAAAAAGTCTACGGCAATAACTCAAATTCCGTAGTCTCCATTGTGTTCACAAACAAATTTTGAAGCGCTCTCTCGTAAGTAAAGGGTAATAACTCAAAAACATTTATCAAAGATCGTCAAATTCGAATTTTCCTAAGATCTTATTATCATAATTGATCACACCAAATTTCATTTAAATCGGATGAAAATTGTAGTCTCTTTTGACAAGTTTTTCCTAAGTCAAGGGCAATAACTAAAAAAACGTTCATCGAAAGATCGTCAATTTCGAACCTGTTTAAGATCTAATTGATATAAATGATCACACCAAATTTCATTAAAATCTCTATTGCGTTCGCAAGTCAATTGTGGGCGGACAGAGCGGGGCGACTACAATATACGACCACATTATAATGTGGGCGTATAAAAATGAGGCCTAACCTTTGAAATCTTTATCAGAAAAATTAAACAAAACAACCCCAACATTGCCTCTGTAATCTTGATCTATAACTCCAGCTGTAACAGAAATAATATATTTTCTCATTTTGAAGTGACTTTTTGATAACAAAAGTAAAAATAAATGTATAAGCTTAGTTATCTTATCCATTAATTTTCATATTTTTCCTCTGTTGAAATTAATTTGATGACTAGTTATTTTATGACTTTGTAAAATTTCAGTTTATAAATGGAATTTTTACAGGATCTTTATTTGTTATTTAGCTAGATGTTAGATGTACTTCACATCACAATGATTTTATTTTTTGGCCATTTCCTTTAGAGCAGGCTTTCATCGATTTCCTATTATAAAACTTGTTGACAAGACCTACAATATTCAAGCAATATAGAAAGTGAAGTTTCTAGTTTGACGAATATTTGAAAAGATAATGCATTTCATACAGTTCTATTACTACATCAGCTATTTATATTATTCTAGACCTATATCAACACCCAAAAATGCTTAATGTTGCCCTTAAAAATCAAGTTTTGTTTTTAGTAATTACTTACCTCCAACATCAATAAAATTCTTCACAGCCAAACCTGACCTAGGAGCTGAAAGGCAAAAAATTAATTATGAATAGATATTATATGCTCTTATATGATAGGAATATGTCACCTCAATTAATAAACTCTTTTGCCATGTCAGCCCCTCAGTGACCTGGTGAAATATTTATAGATTATACTATCTTATAGCTGAAAGTGAATGAAGGCTAATATACATCATATACATAGGCCTACATCAAAGACTGCCGAATATTGTATTCAAACCAGTAACTCTTCCACAGAGAAAAGTAAATATTGTACACTACTGTCTACTTTTTACACTGACTTAAAAGAGTAAAATCAAGCACACACTTTTAATGGAACCTTTTTACACCAAACAAGAACTATAAAACTGTTACTAAGGCCTATTCTTACCCACTCTACCATAGCAACCATCTGGTAAAGCTATCTGGATATCAGTTTTCACTACTGCTTTATCTTTTGCTGGAACTATCACTTCATATGCACTGCAAATATATATACAGATTATATCACTATCATGAAATATAGAGTACTTTAATACTAATAGTTAGATCATGTAATAATAAGTAAAATTTATGTGATTAAGAAGAAGGTAAAGGGTCCTTCGATCCAATTTAGTTAGAACCTTACTTTAGCCAAGCCTTGTTATCGGTCAAATTTGGCCAATCTGCTGTTTAGACGAATAAGCAGGTTAGTCTCGAAAAATGGTGTTCAGTCAATTTGACAACTCTTCAACAAACCTGGATAACTCATTGACAGCCTTCCGACAACTTCGTGACAAATCAAGAGACTCGTCACATATCACTGAAATAAATTCTGTTTTTTTGAAAGGTTTGTTTATGTTTATTGAGTAACAAAGAAGATTTGACTTAGTTTGGACAAGTTCTCCGAAAATTGTTGATAAAAATCAACAGGTGGCATTGGCTTCGAATTAACAATAACTGCACAAGTGCATAATTCAAAGCTAAATTTATTCTTTCACAACAAGAAGTCCTTTACCTAGCAAATAAAAGTAGAAAACTACAGAAACAATCAGACTGGGCCAGGTGGAATGGCACCATTTTCAATCATTGCTAATCTCAAAGGATTAAACAAGTGGTTGCCTAAGAAGATACGCCCACTTCCCTGATAAATTGTTAGTATATCAAGGGCAGTCACCTGTGTCAAATCATACCAAAAATCTAACTTGTCAGAGATATTTTTATATCACAAAATTTCATAAAATTCTGACTTAAACAGTCACTTTGCATTCTCAAGTCTCGATAGAATTCGTGAACAAATTTTGACGAATTTTTACTTAGTCAAGGTCACTAACTCAAATTCCATTCAATGAAAAAACAGCAAACTGAAACTTGACCGAGACCTCTTTATCATAAGATAGCTTGCCAGGCAAGGTAATATACGCCCACTGGCAGCTTTGATTTTGAATAAAAATATTTAGCAGTACAGTAACAATCACCAGTATGAAATATTCAACCTTTAGTCATACACTTCTTTTAGACTCTTGAATATACTGAATAATATTGAGTATGAGTTATTACCTTGTTCTTGAAAACGTGTTCAATTTTTAGCTTGTGAAAACTCTAGAAGGCAAATGTTCAATTTTCAGCGCCGGAATGAATAATAAAACCAAGTTTTGTCGAAATCCAGCAAGAATCATGTCTTTTAGTGTTTAAGAGCTAAATTTGGAAGCCTTTTCAAGAACAAGGGCAGTAACTCATACTAAATATTGTTCAATTCTTCTGATTTTCAATAGGGTTCATCCTTGGGTGATTACGAACATTCACATTCAGTAGTTTCAAGCAAGGTAAAATATATTAATGTCTACTTTAACAAATACAAAATGGTGGATTTCAGTTATTACCAAACGTCACCATTTTTTTATAATCCCAAGCGGTAATCGGAGTTCCAAGTGTCGTCTGCTAGAATGTAGTCCAATGAATGAAGTCACATGATCAACTAGCGGAATCCGTGTCAGCAGAAAATTTCTATGGAACACAAAGTGGGCCATATTCTTATAAATGTTGTTTCAGTGACTTTTAGCAAGAAATCACGCTACGTATCTTATTTTGTCAGTCACTATTTTTTTTAAAAATCATGATTCTTTGAAGGAATTGTCACTAGTTATAATGAATTGATATTAAAGATAAATACTAAGAGAAGTTACTTATACCACCCGGTATCCATACAACGTGTTTTACAGTACAGTGGTGTAACCTATTTCCGTGCATATAAGGATTCAACACCGAATTACGTCAAAGTTAAAAAAACGAAACCTCAGATATTCTAAAAAATAATTAAAATTGGTAGATTTTCTTTATGAATCCTTTACTTTGACCCATATTTCATGAGCAACCAACTCGGCAGAATGGGTCACCTATTTTCGTGTACAATGTTTGATCTATAAATAAGTCTAGAAAAATACGTTGTATGGATACCGGGTGGTATAATTAACTTCTCTTAGTATTTATCTTTAATATCAATTCATTATAACTAGTGACAATTCCTTCAAAGAACCACGATTTACAAAAAAAAATAGTGACTAACAGAAAACCCATGTTTATCAAAACAAACTAATGCGGAGGTCGCGCAAGGTCCCTCATGTAAATTATTAAACATTTCCGGAAATCCACCAATAATAGGTTTCCACGAAATTAGGTTACTTGACTAGTATATATTTCCTAATAATAGGTTAATAGTTTAATTAAATGTTAGGCACACTCTTCTTAAACACAATGTTAGATCAAATACCTATTAGTATTAATCAGGGAGAGTAAGAGTCTATCTTTTTCACTCCCTATAAACATAATAAATCAACATAGCAAAGTAAGTAGGAGTAAGCTAATATCACTGGCATTATATTGCACTTAGACCCTAGGCCCTAGATTAGAATAAATCTATACAATCATGTACCTGTACAAATCATAGCCTGCTGCAAGTTTTGAACCTCGAGTGGGTGTTAAAGCTTCAGCTGTTAACTTGGCAAACTTCAAAACAACGTTATCTACAGCCATTTTAACTCTTTTAGCTTTTGGTTCAGTTTCTGAAATAGTTTCTGAGTTGAAAACTATATCTGCAGACATGAGTAGGCCTACCCGTTACTTTGTTGATGATCAGAATTCCCCGCCAAAAAGTTGGTGAGTTCCGATTGACCTTTGACTTGGCCAAAATTCTAAAAATAGATTTGGTACGGGATGACAAAGACTACTTTTATGTCTGATTATCGGTGTGACTAAAGACTGTAAACAAGAAAAAACGAATTTCTGATTAAATTACAACTGCTAGACTGTCACATCATCAACAGGAAACACATCATAACTAAGGACAAGGATAGAATAAAGACAATCAATAGGCAATTAGGCATACTGATCAAGTTAAAAATGCGATTCATTTGACTTTCAGTTTCACTCTCCTTCCTTGATGAAGTTTATTACTCGATTATCAAGCACGTAATTTTCTGGGTGATAAGTCGCAATTTTTCCAGACAACAAGAATTACTTATTAATATTTCAGCTGTGGTGGTGGTCTAGGCTACTTCTTAGAATTAAAACATAATTTTCCACATAATATTTATTAATGATCAATGGACTAGTCCCGACAGTTTAACAGAAAAGGTAGGTTATTGTTTTGTTGAATATATTTCCTACTAACATTATGATGATACCTCATTCTGTTGAATTTATTCAACGACAACAGACGACACTGGCATATCATTGACATTGTGTAGCCTATAAACATATAGATCTGATAGATTATTGAAATTCCATTGTATTTCTATTAAATGGGTAAATATGTCGTGAAAGGTATTATACATCAGAATCCCTTTTCATACTAATGCTAATGCATGAAATTTGAAACATTTGTGATCTCATAGATACCTTCTTACTGAACTGAAGTTTGAACTATATAGAAAGAATTATTAGGTTTGAATGACAACACACCTAGAATAGATATCTGCTGCACTGGACATAGATAGCTCAATTTGAATCAAGGTAAAAGTCTGTTCTCTGTGAAATACTGAATTCAAAATGTTGTGTTTGAGAAAAGAAAGTGTAGGATAGTTTTATAAGGGCCTAAACTATGAATGAAGATTTGTAGGCAAAGATAACATCCCATCAATGCTCTAATTTCAATTTATACATAGACTGGTAAACTATGGCATCTGGACTTCAAACAAGGAAGCTAAAAGATTATATTTGGAAGTGACCTCATTCCTTATATACGGTATAACATATTTCTGGGTCTTTTAGTAATTAGCTTTTGATTAATTTGAGACACTTTAAACAGCCTGTTTAGATTTGTTCAACTATCTTGGCTTGGTGAGGAAGAATTAGAAAAGGGAGCCAATTCATCTATTGCCAAAACTATTAGGCCCTTCTGGTGTAGACCTACTGATTTTCATTTACCACATATTAGAAGTTAGAGCTGCTATTTGTAGAAAACATATTATATTTACTCTTTGTATAGATAGGAAAAATATCCCAAAAACCTATTTTTGGTAAAATCCTTAACAAGATATGTGCTTTTTGAATAGAGCATAGGCCTACCGGCTATAATATAAAGTAAGCATTTTGATGCCCAAAGAATTCCATAATTCTTCAAACTATAAGCTTTTAATCCTTTTAAGAAACGGTAAGTTATAATCAAATCGGAATGCACTTTGATGTATAGGCTACAGGTAAATGATTTGATCCCAATGTTTACTTCTTTCTTTTTTTCTTTCAGTACAATGTCACTCCTCATTGCAACTGGTTTATTTTGTGTAATATATTTATTGGTAAAGTTTTTAAATATATCACAACCTTGTCATTTACCAGAATTATATTTTAAAGATAAAACTTCTAATTTTATACAAACAGTATTTACCATGTGTCCTATTTTATTTGAAAGGTAAGCACTGGTTTTGTCAGTTGAGCTTGTTGGTTTACCATGTTGAGATATTTCAATTTTCTAATTGAATTCATACCATAATATCAGCTATTCTTATCAATTAACAGAATAAAGTTCTGACTTCTAATTCAACAAAAGCATACCATTGAAGTTCAGACTATCAGCGCTTTAACAGAGCTGTTAACAATATCTCTTGAGTTATGAAAGTCTGAACCTTTTAATTGAGATGTATGAAAACAAGACATTGGATTATAAATCTGAAAAGATCATTGAAGGAAGTGAAAAAGCTGAAATTGAGAGTATCAGCTTGCTTCACATGTACATTAAATATGCTTGAATGTTGTTTCTCACCTTGTTTTAATGCTTGAATATAGTTTCACATTATATTTTTAAATGCTTGAATATAGTTTCACATATATTTTGAAATAATTGGTTGGTGGTGAAAAAAAAAATGGCTCCATACAGGAATTTCTGTAAATGAATTTGTGTATCTGGGGTTGATATACTTGATAAAATGACTTTTTCATATTCCAGTTATATTCCACCATTATTATGGGGTAAAAGTGGACACCTACAGACATTCATTTATGCTAAAATGGGTCGCATCATGTCACCATTACCTAATGGTAAACGTATAGAACTTATCAGACCAGATAATGCTACGATGTCTTTTGATGTCTTCCAACCTCATTATGAACATCCTACTGGAAGTAAGTGTATATATGGGTAAAGCATGGATGAAAATATGGGTTTGTTTTCAAAATTTGCAAGAACATGAAACAGAATCAAAGGTTTGCTAGTACTCATAATTTAACAAAAATTAACAAAATTAGTGGAAATGACCTTTGTAGTTTATTTGATTCCCACTAAAGCCTACATCAAGCTATAAGATTTTCATTGTAATTTTTCTTTCTATGTTTTCATTTTATTATGGAATATGTAAATAAGAAGGAATTTTCAATACCAATTTCTGTAAAGAATTTATATATTAAGATACACATATTTATTAAATATCACACACATATATACAAATAATCGCTAATGGTATAAAAGAGTGATAATTTAAAAATTTGTATTTCATAGGAGACTATACGTTAGCAGTATGTCCTGGTATAGCTAACAGTAGTGAAAGTCTATATATAAGAACTCTGGTAGATCATGCTCAATATAATGGTTTTAGAGTAGCAGTATTAAACCATCTGGGTGCTTTACGTAAAGTCAAATTAACATCTCCAAGAATCTTCAACTATGGTAAGTAACTGAATCACAAATCTTCAGTATCTGGGATTGGTTTGTGGAGCAGCAACATGTTTTATTCCTCTGACATTCAGTGATGTAGGTCTGAGATGCTGACATGGAAAAAGGATCTCGTCATTCGGATTGGGCAATTAATTGAAGCCCAGATAGGTTATAGGCTGTACATGTTCAAGATCTTTTAACAGTTGGAAATCTATACTGAACTGTCTAATGCCGATCTCCTGGCAAAATTTCCCTCATTGTGTACGCTAGTTGAAGGAATAAAAATTAAAACGTGCGTTAATTAAGAATTTCTAGTACAGTTACACTACCTATCTATCAGTATATAGTTTCTATTGTAGGAGCATGTACTTATCAGTTGTAAATATTTCATATAGGTGTGTTTGTTGGGCATCAATGTAACGTCATAAGGTCAAAAGTACAACCTTTATCTAACAACTCACTCTGTCACTAAAATAGCACTTGTTGTACTCTCATGGATCTATCACTAGACACTCTCAAATGAAAAAAACTGTGATATTCCTTTTTATACGCCCACATGAAATGGGGGACGTATATTGCTGTATATTGCTCGTAAACACTCTACAAGACACAATTCTTAACGGATTTTGACAAAACTTGGTGTGAGTGTTCATAATCACCCAAGGATGAACCCTATTGAAAATCAGAGGAATTGTTCTTAAAAACGCGTTCAAATTTTAGATCGTAAACACTGTAGAAGACACAATTCTTGACTGATTTTGGCGAAAATTGGCATGAGTATTGGTTATCACTCAATGATAAATCCTATTGAAAATCAGAAAAATCCAAAAATATTTAGTATGAGTTATTGCCTTTGTTCTTGAGAACACTTTAAAATTTTAGCTCTTAAACACTAAAAGGGTTTTGATTAAACTTGGTTTTATTATTCAGTACCACACTGAAGATTGAATATTTGTCTTCTAGAGTTTTCACGAACTAAAAATGGAATACGTTTTCAAAAACAGGGGCAATAACTCATACTCAATATTATTCAGTATCGCCCTAAAGTTTTCAAAAGAAGTGTATGACTAAAGGTTGAATATTTCATACTGGTGATTTTTACTGTACTGCTAAATATTTTTATTTAAAATCAAAGCTGCCAGTGGGCGTATATTTCCTTGCCTGGCAAGCTATCTATGTTTTTTTCTGTATCATTTCCTCTGTTCTCTTATTTTATATGTAGGTCCTAATTTAGTCACCTGGAAATTTTATGAGAGACAAGTTAGATAATATATTTAATGATAATGATAATATAATAATAATGATAATAATTTATTTCTATAACGCCTATAATCCAGCAAATTCTGCTCTATGGCGCTGTTGTACAATATGGCATATTACAAATCAACATAACATACATAGAAAAACAGACAGACAATGAAACTTCAAGACCTATCAACCAAAGATAACATTACAAGCAATAACATGCATTAAGAAAATAAAGCATTTACCGGATGGGCTCAGCTATCTCGAGAAGATTAGATTGTTGAGAGCATAGTTTGCGTTCAGGACGATACAGCTTAACAAGGTCTTTCAAATATTGAGGAGTATTTTCTACATTTAAGCTTGAATATGTCATTGTTAAAATTTTAACTTCAATTCTTTTATGTATGGGAAGCCAGTGTAAATTCTTTAAGACAGGAGTAATATGTTTGAGGAGCTTAGTTCTTGATACTATTCTGACTGCTTTGTTTTGAATTTTTTGAAGTTGGCAAAGTTGGTCCTTAGAGATATTAAATAAAAGAGAATTACAATAATCGAATCTGGAAGTGACAAGAGAATTCACAAGCAACTTAGCGGTTTCATTATTGATCATGTTCCTAATTTTACCAATGTTATACAAATGAAAGTTAGTAGTTTTACAGATATAATTAATTTGAGAGTCCATTGACAGATTGTGAGTATGACCATTTGATTCGCCGATATTTACTGAATTCCTTGATGTGTTAGCCAAGTTTTTTCTAGTTCCCATTTTCAATAGTTCTGTCTTATCGTCATTTAGTTTTAAGAAATTATTCTTCATCCAGAGTCTTATCTGCTCCACACATTGTTCAAGATTACCTAGCTGCTCACTTTCATTCAGTCGGTTTAAATTTACATTGTTAGAACCTACAGTATAGGTAGAAATCATGTTCGAGCTAATATATTGGTACAAATAAGTCACTGTGTTATTATTTACGTTCTTTTATTAATAGATTTATCTTTAATAGATAGTAGATGTTTTTGAATAAGTGTCAACACAACCCTGATACAAAATTTAAAAAATATTCTTTATCAGGTCAAGTTGATTATTTTGCCATCAGAATCGGGTGATAAGATACTGTCAACATTGTATTTAACCCTTTTAACACTAGCCTTATAGGTCACATAATGACCTCTTATCTAATGAGTCATAAAATAGCCATGTTGGTGTTAAGAGTGAAGAAGTTCCTAAAAACTTCTATGTAAAGCACTGGCCAAGGTCACAAAAAAAGAGATAAATGTTCAATACAAGATAAGGTGAAGTTAGCATAGTTAGTATTAAGTTCAAAAAACAACCACGAGTAATCTACAATAAACAAAAGTCTATAATATGAAAGTTTTCTTGTTACCAGTTCTAAAAGAAAAGAGTATGAATAGGTTCTGAAAAGATAAACATCTATATATAAGGATTAGAATATATTATACTTAATGAGCTAGAAAATAGAGAGGAGGGTATGACGTTTTATTTCATTCAAATTCAGTGTTCAAAGGTTAATCGGTTTACAATTTGAAATGTCTTATGTCAATTTTTTGTTACCTTCTTTTTAAACATGGGCGACAATAACTGGCAGCAGACATTAGAAGAATGGAATGTCATAAGTTCTGCTGCATTAAATTTGGGATACTTGCTTTGACTTCAATTCTTAGCATAATTCAAACTGATTGTATACTGCCAACATATGTTTCCAAACTCACTGAGTTGCTTGTTTCTACAATAAGTGTCTAATGCTTTGATTTTTGTTTTTACAGGTGAAACTGGTGAATATAATTGTATGATAGATGAATTAAAACGACTATACCCCAATACCAGTATTATAGCTGTAGGTTGTAGTATGGGAGCTAATATAGTTATTAAATACCTAGGTGAATGTAAACAACATGAAAATAAAGTTATTGGTGCTTTATCGTTTTGTCAAGGTTATGATGTCAATGAGTGAGTTAATGGATAAATTTCATAAACTCATTTGAAACAAATTATTCGTTCTTGTCCCTAATAGTAAATTTGTTGTGATTTTAAAGAAAAAACACTTTAATCAACCATTCCTTGCTCATTTGTTTCTAATTTGGGTGCTTTGAAAATACATGTATGTGTATTTTAGTCTTTAAGGGATTGTAAAGAGGTTTTCCATATTTTTTATGTGTATTGAGGACATTGACACAGGATCAATTTGCACCATTCCAATTTTCAATTAGATGTCTGTGGTTCCTGCAATTCCACTAAATCTAAGCGTTTTATGTGCCACTGAACGATAAGTCCTCATGCGATTAAGTCTATTTTACGATTAGTGATGTCATAAAAAACTTGGTTTTAGTGGAATTGTAGGAACCACAGACATCTGATTGAAAATTGGTCTGGTGCTAATTGATATTATCAGTTACCCCGATACACATACACAATTTAGAAAACATCTTTACAATCCCTTTAATTAAAAGCTATGCAAGTACTGGCTGAGCTTTCCTGATATTCTCACATACCCAAATTACAATTACAAACATTCTTGACTAGCAAAGGTAAGTAATAAATATGAAGGAAGGATAAGTTTGCAACTGTCATCAACATTTGCCTTTATCATTTAAGTTTCCTTTAGAAATTACTGGTATTACATGTCTTTGAAATGATTATTTCTTGAAATTTTACTTTTCAGTGCCAAACCATTTTTATTAGGCTGGGAGTCTTGTAGACGTTTATATTGTTATTTTATGGCAATCAATTTAAGACAGTTATTAAGAAGTCATCAAGATATATTGTTTACTGAACAAGCTCAATCAGAGTATGGAACTGTTGAATTAAAAAAACTCTATTCTGCTACATCATTATTAGCTATAGATGAATTATATAGTGTGTAAGTTTCTATTTCTGTCCTAATACAGTCTCTTATACCTGCAATAGAGATCTATATCAGATCAATGCTTAAAATTTTCTCAAGAATCCTTTTACCTACTTATCCATGGCTAATCCTGTGAACAATGATTATTCCTAGATTATCCCAGAGGGAAAGAGGATATAGTATGATCTAAGATATTTCTAGGAAGTATGATAAAATTCTGGTATATTAAAATTAATGGATGAACTGTCTATTTATTATAGAAATGCATTTAAATTTAAATGTTGTGAAGAGTACTATCATTGGGCGAGTTGTAAGCAGTATATACAGAATGTAAGTTATTCAGTTTACTTGTATATAATTATAAGGGGAGGATAGTGTGTGTGTGTCTATATTTGTATAATTATGTCATCATCACAATTTGGCATCATTTCATATTACTAAACTACAGACACTCAAATACAACATGTTTTTGAATTTTGAATTTGAAAAAATTCTAATGTAATTTTACAAAGTCAAAAAGAAAATTTGAAATTCAAAAATTAAAATACATGTCGTATTTTTGCTTCCTTACTAAACCTATATATTTATATTATTTCAGACTAAACCACTATAATTTTTGTAATAACCTATAATATATATTTTAACATCATAATGGGAATTATTTCATATTATTAAACAATATTTATGATATTTCAGATAACTAAACCTATATTTATATTAAATGCAGAAGATGATCCTATTGTTCCCAAACAGTTATATACCACACCTTTAAAATATCAAGGTAAGTCAATTGACATTATTGAACAAATTCCTGGTAATTAACTTATATGTTTTCAGTTTATAAACTTGTATTTGAAGTACTATTTATGTTAAATACTAAAACCCAATATACATGTATATCTATTTTTCTTTCAGAAAACCATGATAACTGTTTATTTATTGTAACTAAACATGGAGGTCATTTAGGATTTTTTGAAGGAGGATTTATTAAACCTAATACAATAACCTGGTTAGATAGAGCTGTTGTTCAGTTCTCTAATGTTCTCTGTGAATTAGATTGTAAGGAGAGGAAATCTTAGACTTTATTAAAAGGGTATGATCATCGAAATTTTCTTCTTTAATTGATAAGACCTTCATATCAGATATTTCACTTTTCAGGATGAAAAAATGACTTCAGGTTCACATGCAATTAAATGAAATGGACTTTAATGTCAGAAAATAATACAAGGTTGGAAAATTAAATTGTCATTGTTTTTATCAGTTGATGAAAGTCTCGTTAAATTTACCGCATATGAACAGGGTGTCAGATTATAATATCTAATGGTTAAATGAATAACTAGATTGTTATATCTTTAAGATTTATAACCAGCCTAATTCTACAGTTTTGAAGCAGGTCAACTTTTTTGAGCTTTACATATAAACACATATTTTAATTTCATGCATAATCTTTGTCAGTTATTTCTAATTAATTAAGTTTTTACCATGTGCCAAATGTTTGATTGAGTACATGTCAGCAGTATATACTGGAGATGGAAATATCGACTAAATCCTGAAATTCACACAATTAAAAATCTCTCATTATAAAGCAGAATTCCATGATTCATTGACCAAAAGAAGTTTCTAAATTTTGAATCTGACATAAAAGTTTGAAAATACACGTTATCATATTCTAGGTGAATATGTTTAGTTTTTATGATTTAGTTCTTTGGTACTAATAGTAAATGATTTTAGATGTCTGTTTAAATAAGGACATTAGATGATTTTAATATATATATACATTCTGGAATTAGCTTTAGAATGCTTTTTGGAGCAATTATCAAAATTGTATTAATCATACTTTTAACAGTTTTGAAAAAAGCAGTCAAAATTTTATGGAGCAGTTCTCAAAAGCTCACTTTAATTCTGGTCATTTTTAACTCTATTCCATGACAGATTTATATTTTGTTACTATTTTATTTTGTAATCATTGTAGATATATTTTATGACTATGCAATGAAGCTGATGTGATTTTAAGTAGAATAGTATGGTATTATATTACCAGTCTAGATTATTAATTCTCAGTGACTATTCAGTGTTCAACATTAAATGACGTCCTTTTTTCCATTTGTCTATCATCATCCATTAAGGACCACAAATTTGTGACTCAATTAACTAACAAAATGTCATAAACATGCAACTTCAAGTATCGTGGCACAATATACGTGTCAGTGAATCAGGACCACTGCAGTTGCACAAAAACAATTAGTTCATTTCTTGGTACAAAATCATTGGTTGTCATAGGATAAATTGTTATTGTTTTCATATTTGTAAGAATAGTTTAATTTGTTATTGTTTGAATCATTAAAAAAACAAGGGACCATGTATTTCAAGACAGGAAATTTAAACTGAAATCAATAAATAGATAAATAAATAAATGAATAAATGTGTATTAGCAACATTTATAGCTTCTATTTAGCCTAAACATTTTTGATTTTCTCATACGTCATTCTGTGGTTCCTGTAATTTTGGAAAATCTGGGGTAATGATAAAAGATTTTAACCTTAATATTATTTTATTATTTTTTAGAGTTTCATTCTCAGAATAAGCATCCATTTAAAAGCCTTTAATTAATGTTGTAGCATAATTTGTTAATTATTGATATTAAGAGGATACTACCTCTTAGAATAGACATAAGATGTAAAGACTTAGTATCAAACTTGGTCAATAAGAATATATTGATAAGTTGAACTTACCAGGTGCCATGTCTAAATAATAGAATCTCTATGTAACATCTTGTATCCATTAAACTAAATAATTATTGAAACATGCCTCAAAGCATGCTTCAAAATTACCTAGTTTAATGACTTATTACTTAGTTTGGTGGATTTATTGGATTTTAGATAGATTCTGTCCACTAGTTTTGACACCAGGTAATTCCACTGATGAAGAAAGACTCATTCTAACTAAGTTTTAAAATTTAAATTGTTTTGGTCATCTTAAGAGGTAGTATACTTTTAATTTGGTATAGTTTATTAATAGTTAATTATACTGTGATAAAACATTTCATCACCCACCTTTTGTCATTAGTTATACATGTAATCATTAATCAAATATCTTTTTTTACTCAGGAAATTTGTTGTGCAGTTATGAACAAATTATTTGAAAACCATTCAATTTTACTTTAACTTCTATTTGAAATTTTGTTTTGAGTAATTGAAAGTGTTCATTGAAATGTTGATAAATTTCCTTAAAAAATTGTTGAAATTTTATATGAATATAGTATAGAACATTGCATGAATATGATAGATTTTTCGCTTTTATATGTGGAAACTAGATGAATTGAAAAAAGATAGATTCTATACTTACTTACCTAGCTGGCAGAGCAGCTACTTTTTGTAATATACCATTGCTTTCCGTACCATGAATATAGTAGACAAAGAAATTTGTTCACATCCAGGTTTGTTCAAAACATAAAACATATTTTTGGTAAATATTACTATAAATACCAACTAATATAGAATTATTAAACTACTCTTGATATTCATGATTTAGATAGTACTAGAACATGCACAAAAATAATATCTTTTTTCAAAAATTATACATAGAACTCTACATCTAAATCAAATTATTAGAGAAGCTGATGTACATGTATTTAATTAAGAATTATAATTAGCTGATGTTTGTTACAGATCTGTTCTTTATGTTCAAGTGTTTTAATTTATTCTTTTTGAATTTGACAAGTTAATAAATTTTTAATTTCTTATATTTGTATGGAGTGGAATTTTCTAATCTTTATTTTAGAAATTAATCCTATTATCCCACCCATAGTAAACAGAATATGAGAAGATAATGAAGTGGAGTTCTGTACTGATTAAGATCTGAAATTTTTCAGTCGTACCACATTATTGGCCCCCTGTTATAGAGAAATATGAACATCTCAGTCCCTGATATATCAAGACTCAAGACTATTGTTTTAATTATTGAAAAAATTGCTTCTTTATTTGGATATTTCTGCTAAGAATAAAATTTGAAACCAATTCAAATGTAAATGAGTGAAATACTGGTCTTTAAACAATTTATATTGAATATGTAATAATAGGCCATGGTGTCAGGACAACCACTTTCAATGTACAGTCTCTGTTTAGCCTATGAAATGACACTCTAGATCTGCACCACTGACAATGAGAAACATATATTATGGTATTGATAATTTGCTTTACTTTGTGTAGTAATTATATATACCAATTTATTTATGTCTAATTCTAATTTCAGTATTATACCAGCTCTTTCAGAGAAAATTCATTTTGTGTTTGACAAAAAACGTATTGATATAACAATTGTAGTCCATTGAAATAGATTGATTCACATCTGCAGACAAGCATTTCCAAATATAAACAGAACAGAATTCTTAAATTGAGGTAGCAATAATTATGCCTCAATACTATCTCTACAGTGGACTGTTTAAATACACAGCTATCTTGCATAACTATTCTATAATATACATTATACTTTTTCTATAAAAAGTAAACTAATTTTGCAAAGATTTTTTTATTAATAGAAAATTGTAAGAATTGGTTTATCTCAGTTTACACATCACCAGTTTAAAATAAATTTTTTTACTATCATTTACATAGAAGATAAATGTGACCAATCTAAAAAACAATATACCAGAATAACTTACTCTAAAATAATGAAATCAAATTTTGAAACACACTTTAAAATCTCACAGTACAATCTGTGCTAAATAAAAATGACAAGAAAACTTTACTTTAAAGAAAAAAATAAGATAGGGCATTATCACAGAACAAAAGACTAAAATAAAAACACAACTAAAAAATTATGACACAATAAAAGAGGTCTGATGATAAAGATGATGCAGTTTTAACACATCAAGTGTAAATATGTATAAAAATGACCGAGTGATAGTTTTGTAAACATAAAAGTAAAATAGATCTATAAAAATTCTAAAATATTGGAATTCTTGATTGACAATTAGTTGGTCTTGTTTGATGATATTAATACTGTCATGTTTATACTTATAAATAGATGCTTGATGATATTGTTTACATTAGTTACCATTGAAGTCAACTTTCAATTTCTTATTTTCAAAATGTTTTGGATTATTGGATGGATAATACTCACAACACTTATAATAATAAAACATAAATACATACTGTTAGTAAATGGGACACAAATCAACAAATGGTCAACAAATTATAAGTTACACTTTAAAAATTTTGAAAATTCAAATATTCGATTAATGCATGTTCGTAACCAAAGACAACATAAATCATGAAACGGCTTAACTAAAATATGTCCTAATTATTTAGAGCACTAGAGTTCAGGCTAAATATGATAGTGAAATACAGTGAAATCTAGTCAGTAGTGTGAAAACCAGTATTAATAACATGTTTAATATGGTAACATCTGGATTGTGTAGGTGTCATATCATTACTGGTAAATAATTGTAATTATTCTGTTAATCAGCTTATAGAACTCAGGTACACATTAGCTCTGCAGTTTCCAGAATATAACTCTGATGCCAAGGTTTAGCTACAATTAAATCAACATGATTTGATGAACGCAAGTTAAACTTAATTTCAGTAATCTGGACAGAGATCAAATGAACTGTTTTCACTTCAGATTATCAGATTAAGCTCTGACATTATTTTGTATTAATTAAAATTACTGAACACACAAATATAATGTCTATCGTTTTTGATAATAAATATTGTTTGACAACCTTGATATTATGTTTTTAGTGTTTCAACTGCATGATTGAACTAACAAATACAGTAAGCATTGTATGTCATAAACAGTCAATACCAATTTATCAAAAGATGATTTTAAAGATTTGTTTACCTTTATAAAGGTGAGGTCAGTGACTGTACTAAAATATTCTAATAAAAGTAAAAAAAAGAACACAAAATTGCACATGTGTACATAAGAGTGGATGTACAAAAACTGTGAAAATTTTAGTAAATTTACAACTGTTGATATACATTATAAGCAAAACTCAATTGCTACTATGTAGTAATTTAAGATTAATTACTATTTAGTAGTCCTTGGCAAAACTAAAAATCTTTTCTGACATCATACCATAAGATCTTCATAATTAAATTCTGTCTTATACAGAACTAATGACAAACATTTAAAAGCTGGAAACAATTTAAAAATGTGTAAATAAAAAAGTGTCAAAGTAATGGCTACAGTCATCTAAAAATATGCTCAATTTCAACTATTTGCATCATTCTTTTTTTTTAACATTAAATACCAACATATCGGTAGAATTTTTACTAATAAATGTCACTATTATTATTTCATTAACCTAATTGTTGATGAACCTGATAATCCATTTTTAACCAAAAAAGTGATACAGAATTCTATCAAGAGCAATTGATTCAATGTTTATATCCTTATAAACTGAGCATCGCATCAAGATAGAAAACATATTGGATGATATTTCATCACCATCAAAAAATGAGAAAAAAAGAGAAGAAAAAAGAGACAAGTACAAAACAATACAATTGATATACAAAACATAACAAAATATTATTGAGCATTTTAGCTATGAGCTATATAACTATAATAAGCAACACACAATTCAGCAATATCTAATGTGGACATGTAAATAGAAATTTTCAGTAGAATATAAGGATTCAAAGAGAAATAATACATCATTATTTAATAACATTTATTGAAGTACTTAATTCTTAAAAATAATGTCATATTCAGAAAAAACAGCGTGTTAACTTCTCAATAAAACTATTCATTACAAATCCACAAAAGATAAAACAATAAGCTACATTCTATAAATAAACTATGATCAGTTCTAGCACCATATGATATATCAAAATATAAACAAAAACATCTTTCAATCCATTGGTATTAAATTTTACATATCTACCTGACTTTCAGGTACAATTGAACAACACTGTATGTGATACATCATCATTAACCAACAGGGTATCACTCACACCAGCCTTCAGTTTCCTGTCAACAGACTTACAGTCATATTCTACACAAATGATGTTGTAGTTTTCTGAACTTGCACTAAAACAGATGAACTCAACTTGTTTATCTTATGCATTGTCACTTTTGTGAGTGAGTTCATCACTATCTGCCATTTCCTGGCCATGAACTCATTTTCATTTACAATGTGAAGCAGTATCTGCATAATTCTGACTTTCTTAAATCATATAATATACACATTATAAAAGTATGATTATGTTCTACATACTATGTTCATATTGTCTATTATATTTTTTTTTTTTGCATATGTGTGACATAACATTGCCATAGTAGATTTTGATGTCTGCAATTACACATATTCTTAATAAATAAACAGAGAAAAACTTGATAAATTATGACTAGAAAGAGGAGGTGTGAAATATAGAGAATAAAAACACGAAGTATACAATATACGATTATCATACAGTTTGTATCCCAATGACAAGGGATGTGTATTATACACAGTGAATTACACCTTTACATAAATACAGCACAGCAATCCAAAAACACTATCTTAAAATAGATATCATCTGGTAAGGATTTTAAATGTTTTATAATTGGCTTGGTCCTTTACAATAGTTAAACATATAATGCCTAATTTGATGTTCATTTCAACGTAAATTATGCTTATTAATGTACCTGACATTATTTATTTAATTAGCTTCTTTTTTTTTTACAATCTTACATCAAGTTGTTATTGACCAAGATTTCACTTGATTTCTGAACTTCAAACTGGTACATCAAGTCAGATTCTAATCAAAGATCACATATTTGCACACAAATAAGTGACTGTCACAGCAGCAAATAAAAACTATGTCTGTATGAATAGTTAAATATGCACCTAATAGTTTCAAATTAACATTGTGTTAAATAAATACAGTTGTTTAGTATGAAATCATTAAAATTATCTAAAGTATAAAAATGAATATCTCATAAATTGAGAAGTATTTTCCATGACAGTCTAAAAGTAATAATAAAAGTTAAAAAGATTTATAAAATAAAATAATGACCGCATAATTCAAATTTCACCTTAGAAATTGACAGATCTAAAACAAAACAAAATAATCAAACAACAGTTATCATGGCAAGCGCCGAGTGCTTTCAGCTAATCCTACAGCGCTTGATTTGAGTAAAAACTTCAATCTGTAATAATCATCTAATGCTATACCATTAGATATACCACAAATATTCTTAGCAAATCTGGCAACACCTACAGCACGTTCTTTCTCCAACCAAATACTTAGTTCTTGTTCTATGCTGTTTTCACTATCTTTATCATCATTGAGTAGATCTGATTTATTGGGTCCCCATAATAAATATTCTACCACTGATCGAACTTGAGCTAAACAATCAACACGTTTAGGTTCTAACATTAACCTCATATTCTCTATTGTTAATAGGGTCTCATTCTCTTCTTCAAACTCCAGATAGTCAGCTGTAACATCTTTAAATAATTTATCAATAAACGTACACATAGCTTCACCTTGATGAGCATCATGAGATCTTTGATGTGGTAAAAATGCTATAATTTTACCACGTAAATCTGCTCTGGTTAATAAAAACACATCACGGAAATCTCGCTCTGTCACTGTATAGCCTTGATCTAAACAATGAGACATAGCACTTAATAACTGAAGAGCTAATGTTAGGATGATATGCATTAATGCATCTAAATTGTGTGATAATGTTTCTCTTAATAGTGCAATATGACTGTCTAAAGTTTCAATTATATCAAAACTTCCAACAGCAATAAAACATTTAGCTAGATTAGTATCATAAATAGAATTCTGAGCAACTTGACTTGTTTTGATAAATTCTTCTGATAAGTTAACAAAAGGAATGGTATCAGCAAATACAGCTACAGGTTTTAATAAACTAGGATGACATGTTGAACTCATTTCTGTAGCTGGTCTTGAATGTAATAGCTGAAATGACAATTGAATAAAGTTATTAATGTATATCCATGGAAATAAACCATTGTAAGAATGAGAATCAATTGTCAGTTACAGATCTCAAGATTTCCAGGAGAAATAATGAGGAAGAGGAAAGACAGTCTCTAAGAGAAAAGCACAGCACGTATTATATACAACCTCATTCTAACTGTAAACATTACTTTATATATGAATCAAACTTATATCTGATTTAAAACAAAAACAATTAATAAATTACTTACCATTAATTGACATGGTGAATTGTTGGCTTTATATTTAGCATTGTACACAATACACCTCTCTGATGAATGTAATGGTTGACCATATACATCAAAATCTACCCATTTTAACATCTGTGGATTTAATAAAGATAATTTTTCTGTAGATAATATAGCTTCAGTTTGAGCATAGATATCTTGTAAAGCTTTCAGATTGATACCAGTTAGTTTACTGTAAACATCACGTAATCTCTCTTCACCTAGAGTAACAGCCACATTAGATCTATTCATAGAAACATACTGATCAGAGCCACCTGTATCTGGACGTTTTGGTCGCCGTCTGGGTATAGGACGTGGTCGTGATAATGTACTACAAGTTGATTGGGTATCTGATTCTGATGATAATGTTTCTTTTGATTGTGATCTAGTTGTATTTTCTGTAACTACTAGTGTATCTGCTTCTGGTACATTAGTTAACTGTGATATTTGTGATACAACAGATTTGGTGTCTTCCTCTTCTAGTTTATAATAGCCATTGATTTCTTCATAGATAGGTTGTGATGCTAATAACAGTCTTCTCTCTTCATCAGCAGTAGTATTACCCGGTTCATTAGACACTGGTTTCTTTTCTTTGACAGGGGGAGGAGGGGGTGGGGGGATATTTATGATACTACCACCAATTGTCTTATTTAATGTATTAGTATTAGGTTTTTTAGTTTTTTTGGAAGCTCTAGGAAGGGTTGAACTAGCACAGAAACTGGTTGACATGCCAGAGTGGTTGAGACTTGGAGGAAATTGATGGTCTACTATCATGCTAGTGGTCATTATATTAGTGGAACTGGTACCAGTTGTTAATGATTCTGTGGATGGTAGACTCACATTCAGGGTACTAACTGAAGTCTTAGATATCATAGGATTTTGGGTAGCCACAGGCTCTAAATAGCCTTCCACTGGAATAGAAGCTGTAGGTTTTTTAATAGTTTTATCTTCTTTAACTGGATCATACCAATGTGGTCTGCCACCAAATTTTGGAAGAATGGATTCATATAGATTTTCCAGTGAACCAAGGGGTGATATAACTGGTAGATCTTCAAAACTATTATCCATATTACAATCAGATTCCAATGTTACAGCTACAAATAGAAAAGATATTGATTAAATTATAAGACATAATTATTGTTTGAAGTTTCATACAATATATGTGTGTTTATAGCAAGGCAGAACATATCATTAATAAACATGATGCTACTTAAAAACTGAAATTGTGACAACCTTCTTCTTTTCCAGTTAATCCACATTCTAAAAGCATTGTGGTGGCATCTTTAATCCATCTGAACATGCTATTTTAATTCTAGTTAGGCTATATTTGTATCTGTCCATCTTGCAGCACACTGAATGTCTAAATGAAATTTTTGTTAAGCTCAACTGAATTTTCCAGACAACTTAATTTTATACTTTGCAACATTTTTTTGACCCACAGGATACTTAGAATAATTCAAAACGTTTCATATTTCTCTGGGCTGGGCTAGTGATATAAGTTAGTAACATCAAACATTATTTCATTTCTAGATGAATGATAAACAAGATTCCTATTTATTCATTTTGAAGTACCGGTAGTTATTGACAACTCTCCAAATTGTTTTGACCTTTATATTTAAATTCAAACTAAAAGTTGCCAGACTAATTTACTATCTACTAACTAGGTCAGATTTAACCTTGCTAAACTATAGAGTGGTGAAAAACTTCATGTTCATAAAATTGTTATCTATATTAATAGCAATATTGACTTTCAATCAATTCTATGATGTTTGACCTCAAGTTTTAAAATCAGTCATTTGTTACAAGAATTTAGGTTAATAGAAAACCTTTTAACTGCCTTGGTGGTCCCTTTGTCAAACAGGGTTTAAAATGGGGTTTGTATTTCTTAGTAATACTGGTACTAAAAGTTATTACACTTTAATTCACTTTAACAGCACAAGTGATTATACCCAGATTGAAACATAATTAAATGTGAAAAATCACAAGGTCTCAGATATATCTTTTCAAGCACAGAATTGGTTTTTAAAGCAAAGTCAAAAATATTGCTTCTGTCAAATCTAGAATACTATACCTGTAGTGAAAGCTGGTTCATCACCTAATGATATTGTATTACGTCTATTTTCTAACACTTTATTATTAACTACATCAGTTACCATCTACAAAATAAATAAGAACAAGAGTTAATTTGAAACAAGTACAAATTTGACCACAATATCATAAGATTGGTTATATAAAATCAATGGATATAAAATATAATGCATTTAACTGTATTGGCAGAAGCACCCTACCCCATTGTATATGTTTAAGACAGATGAAATTAAGTACATGTATAGCAAAAGACTTATCATTCTGCCATTTAATGAACAGTTGCTAATTTGAAAAGTAGTTTTGCACCACCATTCCATTTTCTTAAGTTTAATAGATCCTTTATGCAAATTAAATTTCAGCTCTTAAGTAAGGAGTACCAAACAAAATACTACTGGTACTTTAAAAATAGATCAGCCCCCTTTTTTCAGCAGAACAGCAAGTAGCCAAAGGAAAAACAAAGATAGCTTGCCGGGCAAGGTAGCATACACCCGCTACCAGCTGTCAGAAATGATAACAAAATCTGTAGTGGTTTAATATGTGAAACTAATCATCCGATTGTTACTAATTTCAAGCTTTACTGAGATCTCATACCTAGTTTCATCCAAATTGTTCAAAAAATGTAGTCTCAAACAGGCCTACAAGCCAAATTAGATGCATTGAATGAATTCAAGGGCAATAACTCCAAAACCTTTCACACGATTGTTATCAACTTGACTGAGATCTTGTCCATATGCATACCAAGTTTCATCGAGATCAGATAAAAACTGCACTCTGTATCTTTACTAAATCAATGGAAATAACTCTGAAATCGTTCATCCAATTATTACCTATTTCGTACATGACCGAAATCTCATCAATATATAAATGCATACAAAGTTTCATCCAGATCAGATAAAAACTGTAGCCTTTATCGTGCATACAAGCCAAATTTAACGCGTTTTTACTAAGTCAAGGGCAATAACTCTGAAACTGTTCATCCGATTATTACCAATTTCGAACTTGCCCGAGATCTCATCAATATATACATTTATAAGCTTACCAAGTTTCATCAAGATCAGATAAAAACTGTAGCCTCTATCGTGCATACAACAAATGTGGACTTAATATTATAATAATAGGCCATTAAGATAAAATTCCTGTAGCTTTGGTATTACTGTTCATGTTAAATTTAACCAGTGCTCAATCAACCATTAATTCTAATAGGAGACAGATTTAAACTCGCAAGAATTGGTCATAAAATAATAATAGAATATTTGAACTGAATGGTTCAATGATCAAATCAAATCAATAGTTCATCAATTGTTCACGGTCCCCATCAAGAAATAAATTTCATTTTAGCAATTACAAGCCTACAAACTGAAAAATATTACTGAGAACCTATACTTACCACTGGGCCAGATATATCAGCAACATTAATTTTCTTTCCTTTATTCTTCTTCTCAATTCTCGGTAATGTAGAATCATTAATTGACTTGGCTCTTTTAACTGATGGTGGTTGCGGAGCTCGTTGTTTAGGTTTGGACAGCTTCCCAAGAAAACTTTTCCTACCTTGTCTATCAGCAGTAGGCAACTCAATCTTTTCTACTGGTAGAATATCATCATTTGATTTACTCTCTTCCTGTATCTCAGGAGGAGATGGTGATTCAGACTCTTTTTCTTCTTCAACAGGTGAAGCACAAGTTTTAGGTGGAGGGGAAGGAGGGGGGCCCATTTTTTCAGTGATTGATCTTCTTGCTTCTATAATAGTATTTAAATCAACAGGTCTACTTAATCGTCTCTCTAATTCTTTAGCGAAATCTGGGTTATTAGCATTTGAGGTTTTGTTTGGTATTGATGTTCTTTTAGGAGGAGGTACTGGAGGGGCTGTTCTTTTGGGACTCTTGGCACGTCTTCTAATAACAACATCCTCTCCTGCTTTAGTAGGTTTTGCTGATATTTCTGGTTTAGGTGCTGCAACTGGTTTTGAAGCTTCCGTCTTGGGTTCCTTGGGTTCTTCTAGTTCTTGATTTGCAAATGTTTTATGTTGAGTAGGTGGAGAAAAAGTTACTCGATCTCTTTTCAGTTTGGGACTAGATGTACTATCATTTTTACGAGAAGGTGAAGGACTAGCAGTAGCTGAATCAGATTGGTTATCTTGACTAGAGGAAATAGGTAGTACTCGAAATTTTGGCTGTGGTGAGAATTTAGAGCTTCTTTTCATTGATGGAGATGCTTTACTTTCTTCCTGTACGCTCTCCATTTCAGTAGAGGGTGTAGAATTATCAGATCTAGACTCAGCTTTCATCAAAGTGATATCAGGATTCAGAGGTTCAATTGGTTCTGGTGATTCTTTCCCTCTACGAAACACACTCCTAAAAAATGAAGTGATGCCTCTCTTTGACTTGCCATTCTCTGCTGACTTTGTGTTAGACCGCGACATGTCCCCATTATCATTGAAGAAATGTTCTTCTAGACTGGAGGAGGAGTCATTACGTGATTTAGATACTGGAATAGGTGATTCTGGTGGTGGTGGTGATACTATAGATTTACCAAGAGGTACCATCTTAAATACTGGTTCTACTTCATCTTTATTAGCTAATTTTCTGGTTGGAGAAACTTGTGGTTCGGGAGGTGGTGAACTAGGGGGTCTTGGAGCAGGTCGTTTAGATTTAGTCTTCTGAAGATCAAGAGAAGCAGCAACTGTAGCTAAATTATTTTCAAATGCTGACTTTTTAGCTTTATCTTTCTTGGACATTGATCCACGAAGATCCTCTCCTTCACTGTAACATGCAAGGACATCATTCAACATTTCCACGGCTTCCATACTAGCAGAATCCATTTCTTCATGTTTTGGTGTTTCAGAAACACTCTTTTTAAGGATTTTAGGATTGGGAGCTGGTTTCTTAACTGGTCTATCTTCAGAGAAAGACTTAATCATCACATTAGCTGACTTTTTCGGGGTACAATTTTCTTCACCTGTTCCATACAAACATTCAGTTATGTCATCCATTGTATAGGATTCACTTTTATCCTTGGAGTCCTTTGTTTCTGAAAAGGAATATTTTTTTGTGATAACACTGACTATCTTATATGGTACAGCTATCTCATCTATACCTGGTGTTAGTTTACTGGATGAGTCTGAATTAAATGATTTATCACTGTCAGATGATAAAGATGAGTTAGTGGAAGGTGTTAAGGATTTCACACGATTCACACTACTGGGTAAATGTCGATAGTTTTCAGAACCTGAAGACTCACTATCAGCATTCTCTACAGTATCAGCTATCCTATTGAACTCTATGTCATTAGACATTTTACATTGTGAATTAAAATAGTCATCTAATTTCACTTTGGAATCCACATGTTTCTTTCGAACAGGGAATGTTCCATAATTAACAGAATTCACTGGTATTGCATCACAATCTTTTAAATTACTAAACCTTTTTGGTTCAAAATATGACAGAAGATCTAAATGAACATCTTCAAACTCTCTACACTCTGCCTTATAACGCTTTTTATCACTATTAATTTGTAAATTTGTAACTTCAGCATTCCATATAGTGTTCTCAAGTGCTAACATAGCAAACTTCTTCTCTTCATTGGTGAAGGTAAAATTGGGCTTAGAGTCAGATGTATCATTATCATTATTGTCATTATCATCATAAAGATTATCTAAACCACCATCACATCCGATAACTTTAGCTTTTGATGTATCAAACACAACTTTTCCACTTTTATTCTTACGATTAGAATTAGATAATGCACTTTTTAGTTGTGGTTTATTAGAGGAGTTGTTATCTAAAATGTTTAATCCTTGTTTAGACTTATTGCCATTTACTAGATCAGTCTGTCCATTTTCAACTGAACTGCTAACAGATGACTTCAATATCACAGATGTACGTTTTGTTGGTTTTGGTGATGTTTTGGAAGTACATGCCAAATCAACTGGAGAGGAATGTTCACCTCGTGGTCTTTGACAATTTGCACATAACTCCTTCCTCCAAGCATTCTGGGTAAACTCTGGACAAACTGACATTCCTGCACACTAATTGATGATACTTTAGTCTTCATTGCATTACCTAAAATTAGAAAAGATATAATCTTTTATTAGGGACTCTTCTTTACAAACAATGTCCAATATCTAGGAAATGATGTTGTTATTGTTGCTACTAAAAAAATGCCAATTTACAGAATTCTAATTAGTTCACAGTTTGACCAATTCAAGCTTATTGAGTGAAAGAGATCTTAAATAGAGGTTGCAGGTTTAAGTTGCTACCCTATCCGTATATTGCCATTGGTAGTAATTCTAAGTTACTTTAAAATTTTGGGTATTTTGTTCATGTTAACAAGAAGAGAATGAAATAATTTGTTGTTTTCAATGAGGAATAAATGGTGAGAGACACTTAACAGAATAGTGATAAGTATATAGTGTGATATTGACATTATCAGCATTAGTAATTGATAAATCAATAGTCACTACCAATATACAAATATACCCCTAGCTTACTGACATTCAAAATATACTCTTCAAATTTCTTACAGAAAAAAAAGAGCTATATTCTGCACAAAATCTTATTGAAGGTATTCAGGTGGGGATGATATAAAACTTCCTTTCTCAGGCCTTTCGATGTTCACAGAACTAGAGCTGTGAACTATAAAAGAAATCACATGCAGCTTTTACTCTTTGAATATCCCTTGCTAAATTTCCTTCAGCTCTGTTGATATGAGCACAAAGAATAACCTATAAAGAAGTAGAAGTTTTGATCTGAACAAAGATTTAGAATCTAGTAAGAATGGCTATAGGCCCTATTCTCACATTGAAAGTTTTTGTTATAAATTAAAATCCACTCCGACAAAATTGTATTAGAAGAACTTTTTAGTACGAACAGGATACATACTGTTGACATCATAATCAAAAAACCTCCTGTCGAAAAATAATAGTTCATTCTTGTATTTTACGTTTTTAAAAGGGACTCTTTACTTATAGTAAATCAGTAGTGCGTAAGGACATTTGTATTTGCGCGCATCGATTATTCGGTCAAATTATCGGTCACAGCCAATCAAACCTATCGTATAACATCACGTGATGTACAGAAGCCCTCCCACAATAAATGTAAATAAATATGGCATTCCAGTCGAAAAATGGTCATTTAGATTAGAAAATGTCTTAAGACCACGAGAAACGTATATAGACTAATATTGTCATATTCGTGTAAAATCGCCAAACGGTCTGTGACGTCGTGACCTTATTATGCGCAACCATGACGATGGCCCATTTTCCGACCCCTCTCATTTGTTGAACTAAAAATATCTCTACGACTTTTCCAAGAAAACCTTATCACTACGGGAAAATGGTGGCTATACACTGCAATCAAGGAGTTTGGTACTTTGATGCCGGGAACTATCTAAAGCTATAAAAATTTGTGGGAACCTTTAACTGCGAGTTAACCAAGCATAGTTTTACATTTCTATGTGAAGCACATGTTGCGCAGATTATGTCAGAGCCGAATTGAACTTTACGCGATCAGTGAATGAGTACTACTATTAGTCTTGAATAAAAAACATGGAGAAGATTAATTTTTCAGTCTGAAAAAATAAAGGAAAAACTTTTTATTTCAAAAGAATTCTATCATGTCCTCAAAACCTGACTAATCAGTACACTTAATTTGTTACATATCAACACAGTAAACAACAACACAGTTCCCTAAAACATACTCAAATAACATCAAGATTAAGTTCTCTACTAGTTTCTAGTATACTGAATAGTTAATCTACTATATTCAATCAGAATACAGTCTAGAGTCAAATTTCTACTCAATCCTATTTCTAACAGTTCATTGATTTTAAAGTGACTACTATTTGTATAAAATATAATATTGTAGTTTATAATCTTCCATAGTTTTATTGTAATAATATCACCTCCCTATAGACTTTTCAAATATAATGAAAATATGTCAACATCCTGTATGAGTTAGGACAAAGAAAATAATGTGAGTTTTGTAAAGTGAAATTTAAGATATAGGATATTCATCGTACTGAGTAAGCTTGGAAGCCTTAATACGAAATAAAAAATAATACCCTGATTGAAAAAAAAAAAAAGAACTAGAGCCACTCGTGGCACAGAGTGGGACTTTGCTACTGTGGCAAATTGCAAGAAACTCTGAAAATATGAACCTTTTCGGTTAATTAGGTCACATGCTAGAGCAGTCTAAAGTTACGCCATTTTTCTCTTCAGAAAGTTGTGAAAACGGAAGTAGAAGTCAGAAATGAAAGTATCTGCGAATAGCCCAAGTCAATGACCTTTGACCTTGTAAAGAGGGAGGTCAACAAAGGTCAATGTCAAAAATTGAAATTATGGAAATTCTAAAACCCGTTCCTTTTTTTGAACTATAAAGCTGTAACAACTGACCTTTTACCAAAATCTGGCCAAATGGATGATGTAATTGTGTGCAAAGTCCCTTTTTGAAAAAACGTAAACTATGCGAGTTATGCCCCTACCCCAGATTTAAACGATTTGCAGTTTGACCCGGATGTGCCACGCCCACATCAACTATTTTGTCATATTTCTATTCATATTATAAATGTCTAGTAGTGTTCCAAATTTCTAGATTCTAGATGAAATAGGTCATAAGATATACATAAACTAAGCTCAAAGAGACAAAAATATTGTGATAAACATTCAAATTTTAAAAATATACGAATTTCAATTTGCTTTAAAAATAGGATTGTTATACATCGCTGGAAAGAGCATGAGATGCACTTTAAGAATCTGAAAAAATTAACACTCTAGGTTACCAGTTTTTAAGATTTGATGTAGCTGTCACAGTTGAAGCTGTGTGCTCTTTGTAAAATAGACCAAAATTCAGACAGGGAAAATGTCAGAAACAAAGAAATACTAGAACCACACGTGGCACAGAGTGGGACTTTGCAAATGTAGCAAAATGCAAAAGACCCTGAAAAAATCAACCTTCCACGATAATTAGATCAAGCGCAAGAACAGTCTAAAGTTGAGAAATTTTCATTTTTTAGAAGATTTTAATACCGGAAGTGGACGTCAGACCTCACAAATGAAAGTATCAGCAGATAGCCAAGGTCAATGACCTTTGATCTTGTAAAGGGGAAGGCCTAAAAAGGTCAAGATCAAGAGATATACGCCATTAAAATTTCAAAACGACTATAAAACCAGAAGTTGACTTGACAGCAAATATAAAAGTATAAATAGATAGCCAATGCCAATGACGTTTGATCCTACAATGGTCAAGGTCAACAAAGGTCAAGGTCAAAAATTGACAATTTTGAATTTCCAAAACCTGTTCCTTTTTTTGAACTATGAAGCGGAAACAACCAAAATTCTAAGACAAAGTGGCTCAAAATATGAGGTAATTGTGTAAAAAGTTCCATTTTGAACAAATGTATACTTTGCGAGTTATGCTCCTGGCCAAAAATGTCAATAATGAGTAATTTAACCCGGAAGTGCCACGCCCAACGCAATTTTTTTTTAATAAGTTAATCAATATTCAAAATGTTACGTTAGGTTCCAAATGTCAAGTTCCTACATAATAGAGGTCAAAAGATATAGGTCAACAAAAGTCAACAAAGGTCAAAATCGAAAAATGAAAATATCCAAATGTTGAAACCCGTTCCTTTTTTGAAACTATAAAGCTGAAACAACTGAGCTGTTAATACATACTGGCCAAAAGGATGAGGTAATTGTGTGCAAAGTCTCTTTTTGAACAAACGCATCCTATGCGAGTTATGCCCCAGCCCCAAAATGTAAACAATTAGTAATTCAACCCGGATGTGCCACGCCCACATAAGTTTTTTTGTCATAGGTGAATTCATATTCAAAGTGTCTAGTTATATTCCAAATATCAAGGTTCTACATCAAATAGATCATAACATATACATACACTAAGCTCAAAAAGTCGCAAATATTGTAAAAAAAAAACTCAAATTTGAAAAAATCACGAATTTCAATTTTGCTTTAAAAAAACGATTGTTATATATCTATTTAAAGTACACGAGAAGCACATTAGGAAACCGAAAAAATTTACTCTCTAGGTTAATTAGGTCACGTGCTAGAGCAGTTCAAAGTTGCGAATTTGGATGTTCTGGACAGCTATAAAAGCGAAAGTAGACGTCAGAGGTCAAATATGAAAGCATAAACTAATAGACAACGTCAATGACCTTTGACGCAATAAAGGTCAAGGTCATCAAAGGTCAAGGTCAAAAATTGAAAATTTTGAATTTCCAAAACCTGTTCCTTTTTTTGAACTAAGAAGCGGAAACAACTGAACTTCTAAGACAAAGTGGCTCAATTCATGAGATAATTGTATGCAAAGTTCTATTTTGAACAAACGTATACTTTGCGAGTTATGCTCCTGGCCAAAAATATCAATAATGAGTAATATTACCCGGATGTGCCACGCCCACCTGAGTTTTTTTGAATAGGGTAATTGATATTCCAAATGTTATGTTGTGTTTCAAATTTCAAGCTTCTACATTATTCAAGTCAAAAGATATAGGTCAACAAACGTCAACAAAGGTCAAAATCGAAAAATGAAAATATCCAAATGTTAAAACCCGTTCCTTTTTTGGAACTATAAAGCTGAAACAACTGAGCTGTTAACACAAACTGGCCAAAAGGATGAGGTAATTGTGTGCAAAGTCCCTTTTTTAACAAACGTATCCTATGCGAGTTATGCCCCAGCCTCAAAATGTAAACAATTAGTAATTCAACCCGGATGTGCCACGCCCACCCCAATTTTTTTGCCATAGGTGAATTCATATTCAAAGTGTCTAGCTGTATTCCAAATATCAAGGTTCTCCATAAAACAGGTCATAAGATATACATACACCAAGATTAAAAAGACCCAAATATGGTAAAACAAAACTCAAATTTGAAAAAATCACCAATTTCAATTTTGCTTTAAAAAAGCAATTGTTCTATATCTATGTAAAGTGCATGAGAAGAACATTAGGAAACTGAAAAAATTAACCCTCTAGGTTAATTAGGTCACGTGTTAGAGCAGTCCA